CTTAGCATTTCTCACCGGCATTACCGAATAATTACATGTGAATATTTTTCGTTTCATCAAGTACACGTAATTGTTGAAGGGTTTTATACCGATTTAATATTTATATACACTATCATTAAATGTAACGAGTTGTAGAAAAATGAATATTTTCGAATTTAAATGTTTCCTAGCCGCATTGAATCTAATTCATTTATAGATTTGAAAGTAAAAAGCTTAATTAACGGTTAATTTTCACAAGGTCAAGCGACATTCTAAGACACGCTTATATAAAATCATTATTTCACCTGATGTCGATTATTTATCACTAATTCTTTTATTTTACCTGTTATGACACCATTATAACTAAATTTATCGGTCAGAATTTCATGTACTCCACTCGAACGTCCTATGTACATCCATGTAACTATTTACACACAATAAAATATACAATAAAAATCCATTAAGAAATCTTTTTCTTATTGGTGTAAATCAAAGCGTGTTCGTGTTAAAAGCGAATTTCGAAAACGGCGCGTCATTTGTCAGAGAAGAGAGTGCTATCAGAAAACGAGATATCGACCAATGGGTGTGTTTGCTATGACTTTTTTTTCGCTTGTTTATGATTGCTTCTTCTTCTGTTCCAGTATAATTAACGATCAGGCCCAAAGGGTGGAGTAATTTTATATGAATTCCACCAAGTTTAGTTCCTTTAGGATGTATACAAGAATACTAATAGATCCAATAAGTAACACATTAGTACAAATTAAAATTAAACTAGAAAGGGGTGTGTTAAAAATTAACCCACGTGTTTAGATACCCACCTATTCTCACCCCATTAGCTTATATTAAATATCAATTCCAATTCGAATTGAACCCTCCCCGTTTGGTAAACAAAACAACCTTGTAAGTACAGAAATCCTATTATTTTAATAAACTTCGTCGACTGTATATGCTTAGTAAGTCGACTTTTATTATTTAGAGACAGGCAGGTACATCATTATTTATTCGGGTCGAAAAAAATGATCCACATAAAATTTTCGTCTGGGTAACGAATACACGGATTTCGGTTTCGGGCGAAAGCTAATAAAGAAAACAACAAAGGCGGAGTTCGGAAGGTCCGGATTAAAACCGGATTAATATTTAAAAAATGATCGATAACCTATATTTTCGTACTTCGCGGTTGAATTATTTAATAGAAATAGACAACACGTGTTACTGATACAATTAGTAGGTATACCGATATACCGGGGATATTATAAATAATTGAGAATTACTTTGAAAAGTTTGCGGAAAATTTTGTCATTTCTTTTGCGAAAAAAGGGCCAATACAACCGTAATTGTCTACTTAAGAAAGTTATTTATTTATTCCTACACTATTTTAAAGGGAAATTTGTTGCGATTTTTATCCAACCAGCCTTATATTTTTGCGTGAGGTCAAATAATAAAGACGGTAATTTTCATGCCATTCAACCGGAATAGTATGTATATGAATTAGCTAAAAGGTTTACGAATAAATTCATAAATTAAACGAATTAAAATAATTAATAACAATAAAGAAGGAAATATTATTTTCCACCTATAGGTACTTTCATATTTAATTATATTTCACCTAAAAGTTTATAATAAAAAAAACTTGTGTAGGTATGTAAAACTAATAATTAAATACCTACTCAATTAAAATTTGTTAATACCGAAAGAACTCCATTGTATTGCATCAATTTCTGATGACATTCACGGCCAATTTCGTCAAACATTTAAAGGTGAGTAGATAATTTTCGCGGAAAAAAGGGAATAAATGTCGATTTTTAGATTTCCAACCCGTAATCTAAACGGAATCGAATCATTTTTTCCTCTATACCTGTATATCGATTACAAACTATAGAGACTGTTTAAAAATTGATAGGATTTAGAGTAAATTCATTGCCAAGGTATTGACAACCGAGAACTTCTACCTTTGAAAATTTAATGTAACGACAAACTATTTAATCACCGTACGGACTGTTTAAATTGTGTGTTTTAAGCCAACATTTATTCTGATAAAATAGCTATTTGAACATCCGTAGGTAATGTGTACAAATGTGTTGCAAATGTGTTTTTTTTTGTACAAAAATTATGTATTCCACACGTTTCTAGTTCAATACCTAAATAGATATCGAAGATCATTAGGCGAGTAATTATTTTTATCGAGAATTGTTAAAAAGAATGTTGTAACGAGAAGTCACCCGGTGCTAATTCTGGGGAATATCGTGGCCTACCTGTAGTTTGAAATTACTTATCATTTTCTTATCTGAATGTAGAAGATTTAAACATTTCATAATATTTAAATAAATAATTCTTATCACTTTTAAATTTAATGCTGTACTAATTTCTGAATAAAGTTACCATATCCCGATTTATCAGATGAAAATGAATAGAAATTAATATTGTACGTTTACAAAACAAAATGTGGATATTATTTGGCAATACTAAACCAAAAAAATTCGATAAAAAAACGACACGTTAAACATCGAATATCAGTTTCACTTTCATTAATACAAAATACCCATTCGAACGGAATAGAATAACAACTTAACCTGTAAAACACCTACCAAGGCTGTATAGTGAAAAAATCACAATAAAAGCGTGCGTTCGACGTATTTACCTTGAAGTAGGTTAAATTTCACCACCTCTTCGTCGAGGTTTCCACTGACAATCGGGCACTATCGAATGGATTTTCCATTTCCATCGGAAACGGGCATGTTTTTAACACTCGCTTTTCACACCTCGCAACAATACGCGTATAAATTCACCTGTTTTCTGTTTTGACATTGCTGAAATCCAAACGCTTTCAGTTGCTGCGTTGCCGCGCATCCTGCGAGCGTGTCCTGGAAATCCTGAAAGCGCTCATCGACCCGCGCGGTTTTCATAGATTTTACTTCATTCCATCAACGCTTAAAAATTGTTAATACATTGGAAAAAAATTACCAAAATATGGTAGAATACATTAGTTGCTTTGATTTAGTGATTAATAATACTTGGTTCGTGTTTAATAAGTAGTTTCTTGATAAATAAGAAAGTTTGGTAGATTTGGCAACGGGTGAATACGACTTCATTGATAAATATAACTATAAAAATTAAAAGCTATTGAATTGTTTTTTTATGTAATTAGAGTAAATTTAATCACCTACCTACTTTAGGGAGTATTACTTATTAATGATTCATTAATTTATTTGATATGATGATGAGTGATTGATTGAGATATTTTTTATACAAATCTGTTTTTTTTTTGGTAAACTTCATACATTAAATAAAACAAATCGAGTATACTGCAGGCTGCAGTTGAATTGTTATTTATTCATTTATTAATATAATAAGGAAAAAGCAAAAAACAAAGATATCACAGGTATTTCTGTATTAGGAATAACAAGAGAGGACACTTAAAAATAATAAAAAAAAATATTATATATCAATTATTGCCCTGTGGACCACGCCGATGCACTTTACAAACGTACATTTCGAAATAAAACCGTGAGAAACTGATAACACTCTTATCTTCGAATAATTTAGTTCTTATTGAACGATTACATGAAAAATATACATGGTGTTAATAAATAACAATACAGTTTATGTTATAAACACATTTTCAGACGTTCAACAACAATTTTGAAAAAAAAAAACCTATAAACATAATATAACAAAATATAATAAATTAAGGAACGGTATTTAAAATAATTAAACAGTGGGTATCGTTATTAGAAGAATTTTTAAAATTTGTTCAGGTTTCAAATTCTGCCAAGTAAACTCAAGCCAGTTTTAATCAATATTTTCTGAACCTGAAGAAGAGATTAGCGACAAATAGAATTCTACTTCGCAAATAACATCGATACGCACTGAGATATAACATAACAAAATCTTAAATTATAAATAGTAACTCGATACAAAAATATACAACTAGATATAACGAACCCTCGGCCATATGAGTAAATTTGGATTAATTTTAATGTATTTGTTTAAGTAGCTAAATCTCCTTATGCAGGGAATAAAATAACTATTTTGAATTTCAAACTGTTATCACAATTTCTAGATTTTCGGGACGTGGAGTATTTAATTAACGATTTAAAAAACTGTAATCTCGACACCCCTAACTTTTTGATATGTGCTAATATTCGTACTAAATACGGAACATATTTTTGATACACATGTACCTACACTTCGACAAACTGCCTTTAATATATGTTTTTTTATACCGAAAGTCGATCAAAAATATATACCTTAAACGGATGAATATTGTCCAATTCCTTTACGTTTCGCTTAAATCTATGTTTATGACAAAATTTCTGCCTTTACAATTGTAAATATTCAAAATAGAATCAGTTTTGATAACAAATCATCAGAAAAACTATACAAAACTGACTCCGTTTTTGATTTTTCCGACTATTCGAAGCGCTAAGGTAAATTTTAAAACCATTATAATTTCTAAAAATTCGAAAAACTTTTTAAATACAATATTAATTTATCGAAAATACCCTAAAGAAATGTTTTAATTACAATATTTAATATAATGTCAAGAGTGCCATTCGAACTAAAACTAATTTAAATTTACAATACGTTAATTTGAATATACTTTTTCGACGACTTTAATAACAGCTTTAATAATGGCATGTATATTTGGCAATTGAGCGGTTTTCTCACTTCAATCGAACCTACCGCATCATTTTAATTAGCTTAACTAATTAGTAACATGTGATGGCTATTTTGTGTTTCCAGTGGATGTTCGAAAAGTCTACAAAAATACTGATAAGGTTCCTTTTACCGGGATAAAAATTGGTTTTATTGTACGAGAGCATTGCGTGCATCTTGCATTTGGAATTAATCTAATCGAAGATTCTATTTCCGCTCTTACAGTTCGGGGAGTAGGTAACACAATTAATCTGAACATCTCATTGTTTCTCTTGCAATCGTACGAAAGGATCGAAAAAACGTCCCCATAAACCTTTCCTATCGTCTGTTTAAGATTAATTCTTTGGTAGAATTGACTGAATTGGCTAACTATTATCTTTGGTGGCTTCTATAGGCTTCGAGTTTGAGTCATCTTGTACGTTGGCGTTTGCACGAGACTGCACCAAGATCGACGATAGTGCTTCCAAAGACTGCCTAACCTACAATCAACACATTAATTACCATCAGGATTCATCTAATCGATCGATATTCTTACCTGAGCAATTAACACTAAATTGGAATCTAAAAAATTATTGACCGCCCCGGCGGACTTGGAATGCATCTGCGAATGCCACTGCAGGAGATCGTTGTACACGTCCTTGGAGTTCTTGATCATGTTCTCCTGCAACACCATCGAGTACTTGCTTTGGATTTTGCTGATCCGGTAGAGCAGCACGCCCGCCGAGAAGAACAACAGTATTAGCAGAAGGGTCGTCGCGCAGAGTATCAAACTCTGGCGCGGCAACTTCCGAAATTCGAGTATGGCCTCTTTTAATGTTTTTATCAAACCGCCGCCGCCGCCGCCGCCGCCTCCGCCCGAGTCTTTGTCGTACTGGGAACCTGAATATCCACAAATTATGGTACCATGTTGAAACAGCCCATACAAAGTTGCCCAAAGACCAAAATCGCCAGGGAACTATCTTGGGCTATTTTGTCAAGGCTATTTTGGCTTGGGCCATTTTGTCTTTGGGCTATTTTTGTTATTGGGTGATATTGTCTTTGGACTATTTTACTTGGGTGGATGTGTCTTTGGGCGATTTTGTCATTGGAGTTTTTGGATTTGTGCAATTTTGTCTTTGGGCGAATTCATCTTTGAACTATTCTAGTCTTTGAGAGAATTTGTCTTTGGACTATTTTATCTTGGGCGATTTTGCCTTTGGACTATTTTGGCTTGGGTGAATTTGTCTTTGACTATTTTGTCTTGGGTGATTTTGTCTTTGGACTATTTTGTCTTTGAGCGAATTGATCTTTGAACTATTTTAGTCTTTGAGAGAATTTGTCTTTGGACTATTTTATCTTGGTCGATTTTGCCTTTGGACTATTTTGGCTTGGGTGAATTTGTCTTTGACTATTTTGTCTTGGGTGATTTTGTCTTTGAGCGAATTGATCTTTGAACTATTTTAGTCTTTGAGAGAATTTGTCTTTGGACTATTTTATCTTGGGCGATTTTGCCTTTGGGCTATTTTGGCTTGGGTGAATTTCTCTTTGGGCTATTTTCTTACCATCTATATCGCTCGACCTTCGGTTTTTCGGAATTATTTTCACTAAAGAGAATTTCGGTTTAATTTCTATGGGAGGCGAATCACGGCCACTTTCGATTTCCCCTGAATCACTGGAATCTAAATCCGGCTCCTAAAAAAATACCCAAAGTGTTTGTATGCGAAATTATTACACCGCCAATTGGTAAAAGTAATTAACTGTTTATTTCGTGGAATATAACTCGTTATACTGGTACCAGTTTATTTTATGACACCTACATCCTGTTTTAATTTCGGGTTAATATCATCAACGATGATTTATGGAAAGTACACGAATTACAACACGAAATTCACATTTCTCGAATTCACTTGACCCAAGCTCACCTCAATTTCCGGCTCGATAATAACAGGTGAAGCGCTTTTCGCCTTCTGCCATACAGTTCGCATGTACAATAATGTATTGTCTCTCGAAATCAAACTACCGAAAATGTGCTTGTCTTCGCTCGTCGCTATCCCCACAGCATTCGGTATTATCCTTGCAGTTTTTTCTTTGGTTATATCCTCCACTGTGAGTACTGGTATCAAAAGCTGTAAACCAAAAACATCAAATTAAAGACATCGAATAACAACAAGTAGAAGCACCAAATTACCTTAGTAACGTATCCGAAAACGTTGGAATAGAAAGCGAAGTAGTTCTTGGTAATGTACAGATGGCCTTGCAGGAGAATGTCGCCGACGAGGGCGCAGGAATAGTGATTCAACACTTTCTCGTCGTCCTCGACGTTCGGAAAGTGCCGGAGGAACTTCTTCTGGCGCGCCTTGGAGGTCGTGTGGATCTTGGGGTCCTTGGCGGCCTTCGGGCTGGGCGGCTCGGTCACCTGAGCTTGAGCTGTCATGACGGGCGTCGATGTCGATAAATGTTTCAAAGATACCCTGGAAATAACCAGCGGTTTTGTTAATGATCGAATGTTCGAGTTGTTGCTTGGGATTTTCGAAACGATTTGTTCGAGTTCATAAAATTTTGACAATAAGCGATTCAGATTCATGTTTCTTAATCGCATAATTAGCGAGTTGTTTGAAGAATACTTTTGCTTGGATAAAACCTGTTTGTTGTACCTACAAAAATTCCTGATATCAATTGCAAAGCGGACAGAACAACTTCTCGTTGGAGAGTTTCCATTTTATTGTGTAATATAGTTTCTCGAAATTGATTGATGATTTATGGCAAATGATATAAAACGGTTTTAATGGTATACTTTTATATCCGGTATTGCGAACATTGTTTACCATAAACTGCTCCGAGCAGATGTAATTTAGGTACAATTTTCTATTTTCAGCCTTCTTTAGAATCGAAAAAAGATTGTAATCAGAATAACTATTCGAGAGGAATTCAATATCACGATACTTACACGATCTAGTATATTACATTATGATTCTATAAGTAAAAAATTAAAAAAAATTAAACGTATGGAAAGAGGTTCTTGTTTGTATGCATTTTTTGCTATTGTCAACGATTACATAACATGACATTTTCATTACAAGCTATTAGCTTTAGATCTAACATAAAATATAGATAAAAAAGAAGACTACAATAAAAAACTATCGCAAAATTTGCGAACTTCCTTAACTTTTGTGGAGCAGTTTATTTATACTTTATACTCGATACCTTTAACTTATTTGCATTGAACCAGTAACTTAAATTGAACCAGTAACTTAAAACAAAAAGTCCATGTTTTAAAAATCTCGGAATGTCAATAATCCGAATAATTAGAAAGATTCAACTTATCAGAACATAAGCAAACGCAACTAGAAAAACCTGTTGGAATGATTACAACTGAACTATTAATAATATTCTTCGTATTTCGAATTACAAAAAATGCGACTAATGCAATCTTACCGAATGATGGAGAACATTTAGATTTTCCTTAACCGAGTTTTAATCGAAAACTGTTTGTTTTTATCATCAAAATTACGGAAGCCGACTGACGAAAACTTATTTGAATTTGACAATAAAATTATAATAAGTTATCGAGTCCAAAGAATGAATTTAATTATTTTTTTTTCTATCAAGGATTTTAATAAATTGTGATATAATCCACCGTTTTGTACTAAAATTATAATTAATAATTCATCAATTAGTTTTAATTCCGCTTGCGTTAATTCTATAAGAATTTATATGAAAAATAGACTATACCATTTGTTTACCTGTAAAATTATATGTTCAATCACATTTGGCAATTATTGCATAGAGCAAAACATTTTATGCTAAACGTATTATCACTGCAGACGAACTGTAAGTGAACTCGCTTCCTGTATTTAATATGTTTTTCTTCATAAATGAAAATATGAAGATTAAATTTAGTCCATACGGTATAGCAAAAATTTTCTAATAATATCCTAAATAAGTTGTATGAATTTGGTGAAAACACTTTAATTCGCAAATCTTGAATACACAAAATAATGCATTTAATCTTCATGTAATGGATAATAAAATCACTTCCTATTGTTATTTGTGCAGACAGATTAAAATTTTGGCTCATTAAGTTGTCTTCTATAGGCTCATTAGTACAAAATAGGCATGATCATTTAGAAGAATACCGCTCCGGCTACATGCTAATTTAAAATTGCTTCATGCTTAAAGACAGTAATTATTTTAAATGGCATTTTCGGTTTCATATCAGTACTATTACTGGTCGTTACGAAGATTAAAACTACGGTTAAAAATTTTTAAATAAAATATTGGCAACAACGAAAATTGTTATTAGAAAAAAAAGACATTAACTCCTACTCATTATTAATTAAACCCAATTAAATTGGTTATAGTATAGTATAATATTGTCTATTAATAAATATGTTTGGGACATACTGTATAGGTATATTTTTACTTCTTTCCTAATGCTTGTTCCTTAATCGATAGAGCATTTAATTAACTAAAAATGAGGTCAATCAACATGTGATAAATTATATAAAAGGTTATTAATTTCTTAAGTTCTCACATTGTTTATTCTTCCAATTTTTTTCTAGGTCTATAAAAGACTTTTCTAGAAACTATACCACACACAGTGTATAAAAAACTATTCATTTGTGAGAAAATACTTCTTAAAATCACTCTGTACATACCAAAATTTTTACATGACCTTTCCCATCACTTTCCACTATGCAAATCGTTCGAAAAGCAAACAATCTCCTTTGTATAACACCGATAATTATGAATTATTTATTAACGAATGCTCTCGAATTTAATGAGAGCTCCAGATCTCGGTCGTAGTAATGGCGTAGAAGAAGAACCTTCATGAATTTTAATGTGTTTATTGCGAAAATTCGGATTCGATCATCAATAACAACGCGGCAGATACGAAAAATAACAAACTCGAAAATTAAAATTGTTGAAAAAGTTAGATCTTTAAAAAAAATGCTGTATTTAACGAGGTGATTATCGGCGAGATGTTAATTAGCGAGAAGTTAATTAATAACATTAGAAATCGAATCGTTGTGTGTCTAAAAAAATCTGGTAATTATAATAATTCAGACGCTTTAAAATTTATTTAAACATTGCAATGTTGTAAGAAAACAAATTATGATCAATATTTTAACAACTCATTTTATCGTTTTTAACAAATAAAACAATCCTAAAAATTCGACCGAATGAGTTATTTCAAGTATGTTGAAACACCTGCTAAGTTTTACGAATTACAATTGGTAAGATATGCTACAAATTGCAAAACATAATTGGCGATGTTTGAAAAAATAATTAGTTAATTTGGGCCAATTAAAAGGTAATTATTAATAGAACACTAAAAATGTTTACTTCCTTACATTTAATTAGAAACAGAAACAAATGTTTCCCAAGTTTTCTAAAGTTATTAAGAATTAAAGAATCCAAATAGATAAAATCAGGAGAGAAATAAAGAAAGATAAGTAAAGAAACATGAAGGTGCAGTGAAGATAACTGCATGGAAAGCAATATAATAAAGCAAAGTAAAAATGATTCCAACAACGAATGTAGAAACTTACTCGGAATTTGAACTCCCTAAAGAAGAACTGTCGAAATCCGAACTGCTAGCTTGCTTCTTCTGGTACGTTTTCCACTTCGTTTTCAAATGCATATTTATTAAATTTGCTACGATATTTGCTACAATGTATTACCCACAGACTTACTGTGTGCGTAAAGTACCTACTGACTATAAATCAAAAAAATCGGGAGAACGAACCGCAAACGCAGCGATTGTGCGATGATTATAAATCCGAAAATACCGACGGCGTGGTTTTATTTTAGAATACTTGTATTGTGAGAAATTTATAAGCTATTAACTTAAATAAACGGCTAACTCGTTTATCTTATCGTAAATACAGGTGATACTTTATTAATAAGATTACCTGGCTAGCAGCTGGTCTGTAATGTTGATAAGGATTAACACATCTGGCAAAGTTTTGTGCAAGATCGGATATAGAAATATGCTTAATCATAAGAACAAATTTTAAAGAAATAAAAAGTTCACAACGAAACTAAATTTTACCTGCATACTTCTAAATGTTTAATGGGTATTAAAAATTAATAAATTTTCTCCTATAATTTTATTAGTCACATTGACGATATTAGCTGATATTTCTATTAAAAATTTAAGTGTTTAGGAACACAATTCTATACCTAGAGGTGGTGTATACGTGTACTTAACGTTAATAAAAAAATTGATTAGGAAAATCTTCCATTATACACTTTTTCCACTATAGTAACTGTCCTGATATAATTTATGTATTTGGGAAAATTTTGTATGGTGATGTTGATTATATAAAGTAATATTGAAGATAATCGATAAACATAAACTCTTCTTTTTTGATATAAAACTATAATTTGTGACGAGTTTACCGGATTGTTTATTTATTCGGTTGTTGAATTGAATTGAATTGCATAGTCTATTTTAATATTAAAAAAAAATTAACGTAAGTAACACTTTGCTGTAAAGTAAATTGTTTATGAAATGTTCGCAACATTTCTTTTGATGTATTTTTTATATTGGATAAATCTCGAGTACAATTTGAATAATATTTATTAAACCGATCCATTATATACTCATCTGGAAAAATATTTATTTTGGATTTTCATGATCAATTTTGGACTGTTGTTTTCCTCGAATCATTCGGTGGATAATATATTTTACTTGTTGATAAATCTTATTTGTTTAACCTCAATTACCTATATCTTGGCAGGCATCACTGACTGACGGAGTGATTGTCTTTTTAAAAATAGCATATCATTACTGCCGTGTAGTAGTTCCTCCAATTAGGTAAATCGTTGTTGATTTTCATATTTATTAACCAGTTAACTATTTGTAGCCAAACAAAATTAATTCATAGAAAAAAAGCGAATTCCAGATTAAAAATATCGTTCTATTTTCGATTTTCAGCACGTTCCTAGGGTGACAGGTGAGTGACTCTTCGCCGGTTATTTCGGGCTCGCTAATGAACAAGCCAAGAAACATATTTATTATTTCGTTTAAAACGCGAGTGCAACTCGCTTTACCAATAATTTATCAGGAACACAAGTATTACATAACGTATTTATATGATGCGTTATTTTTAAAAGTGTATTTTCGTACTTTCCACCGATATGTGGAGTTCAATTAGAGCCCATTCGAATACTCACTTGTCGCATTTAGTGAACAATGCATGACTGGGACTGCTCTGGATGGCGATGGCGATCGGCGAAGAAGAGTTAGAAAGCGATTCGGGCGAAAGGGTGCTGCCTACGGGGTTGCATAGCACCTGCTCTTGGGGAGTACTAGGGGCTGAACGTGCCCCCGCGCTCCCGAAGTTTCCAGACGACCTGGAAAGCAAAAATAACGCGAATTATATACCCAGTCGATAAGTTAAACTGATTGCTTTCGGTTCAACTAGTGAAGTAGATTTTATGGTAGTATAAAAATAAACATAGTTTTCCTACAAAAATTTTACGAGCCGATTGAATCGTTGTAAAAATCACCGAGAGTTGTATTAGTTACGTAATCAAAATAAAAACCGGTAGAGGATAAATATCAAAAGTTACATTTACTGCGAAGGAATAAACAAAATAGAGAAACGAAGAAGTTTGTGATATTTAAAGGCACTTAATTCTTAATTTTATCCCGAATATGTTCCACTTACCACATATCGAAAGACAAACAGCAAAAATGAACATTGAATAGTCGATGTCACACAACAACTAAACATCCATTAGTAAAAGAATCAATCGTGCTCTTTTGTTGACCTTTTCTGATTTATAATTTCAGATAAAATGTAATTTATATTGAATTCCGTTTTTCGAATAAACAACAGATAGTTTAATTTCGTTTTGTATTTACACATGCCGAGCCGAATGAATTGCAGCAAGAACTGATTAGTTAATTGCATAGATTAGTTGCAACATTATTGTGCAGTCAGTACAGTTGTAGATTTTCAACTGCCCATTTGGTCTGCTCACAGTCATGTGATTAATCTTTGGAAATTGCGATAAGGTAAATTTTTGAGTTTACTTTTATTATTTTGTTCCAACTTAACCAAAAATTACTCAACAAATAAATAGAGTAAATTCATTTTATTATTCTAGTTTACGCATCTAATTTTTAATACATAAATACTTACAATATCAATGAACTTAGATAATAAAGTGTGTATAGGGGTTACCTAACTATACACAATATTATTAAGATTTAAATTTTTAATTATCTTTTCACAGAATTATCTCAATTTGGCGCAATGTAAAGAATACTTATTGAGTGCAATTTTCGTAATTTAGAGTCAATTAAACGGTTAACTGAAAAGCTTTCCAATCCAAATAAAATAATCAGTAGGTACCTTAAATTTACTATTAACAATTAAGCACGCCAATTAATTTTAGTTCTCTAGCGATAATTAAAAAATATCGACAATTTGCATGAAGTTCATTGACATTAAAAAATTCCTTTCAACATAATAAAAAGTACAATTCGTTTGTAAAGAGTATAAATTTATGATTGCAAACTGTACTTACTTTCAATTTATAGATAATAAAGCAAACCTACCAGGATTAATAGATCTATTTACTATAAACAGCCTTGTTTAACGCGTTGCACAACAAATTATACACAGACCATAAATTTAATGCAGTGTTAATATTTACGAACGAATTAAAAAAATCAAATAGAGTCTGTTTATTTATTGAATAGTTTGTGCTTAAATACAATTATTAGAGCATCGTCAAAAGTGCACTTATGTACAACTCTACCAAAAACCGCCAACTACAGCATTTACGAGCCCAACAATAGAGATGACCTAAATTTCTAAAGTATCTAAAGTACCATTCAAAATAATGAAGCAATGTATTAATTTCCTGCTAAAGCAGAGATGATGGTTTTTTTATTATTTTTTTTAACAACTCTCGTATACAGTATAGTCTTGAGGAGTATTTGGCAAGCATCGATTTACGTTTTAGCCGGAGGATTTTTCCAGACGTTCGGGAATTATTCCAGAAACGTAGATATTTATGGCGTCGCGACGACGTTTATCTTTCGAAATTTCCACTCCTGTTCCTGAACGAACCAATTTATCAGGATCACGTTTTGCGATACAATGCCAACTTTATTTATTGTAACTTTAAATTATTATATCACGGTTATCTAAGATAATGCCAACTAGTGCGATTAACTAGGTTTATAATTAGATTAATCAACTAGTTATCGAGTAGACTCTACGGCGATTTAAAATACGAAAGTTTCGTTGATAAAAAAATGCGAATTTGTTGCGAAATAGTAGGTTAGAATTGACTTAGCAGGTCATTTCAGGCCGTTCACATTTCACTATTAAGTTTATAAGTATGCACAACACATATTACCGTTTGTTGTAAATAAACAGAATTTAATATTTCACGCAGTTGCCCACTCAAACGGTATTATAAGTCTGCTGTTTTACGAGTTTCGTTTTATATTTCCACCCTTTCAGCTGCCACCCTTTAATTATTCAAAAATAATTACTCCAAATGCTAATGTTGTGTACGTTCCAGGTATCTACCATCAAGTCAAGAATAAATTCCAATCCCACACTGACTGTGTGGAACTGTTCTTCTCCAAAAAAATTGCTAATAACTTCATCAGACTTTGGCGATTCTTACCGAGATTTCCTTAGCAACAGCCGCTTTTTAACAGCCTGGAATTTGGGCTCCTTCTTACCGACGACGTCTCGATTATCGAAACCTTGTACGAAGCACAACATCACAGACTCGGCCATACAAGACACGCTGTGGTACTTCCTCGACTGCTGCAGCAACGACGGTCGAGCATCTTTCGAAAATCGGTCCGAATTTCCCGCGGCTCCGGCCAGATTTCCGCCGGTCGCTTATAACGAGTAACAAAATCAGTCTTGCGAAGGCACTCGGTATATTTATGTGTAAACAAATCGAACTGTCACCGTGCGGTTCTATCAATATCACCAGCCACGTGCTTTCTCATTGACGATCGAACGGCGAATGACCATCGAAACCATATGATCCGGTTCGTGACCTCATTCTCGATCTACGGCCAAACGGACACCGGGCTCTCGGCGTTCGTTCAGAGGATAAAAGGCATCCACGTTTACGAAATTTCAATTAATCCAACAGAGTCGGTTTAGTCGGAAACGCGGCCGAACTAAAAAGTACACCGAAACAACAGAAACTGGTTGGTTAATGTATTGATCGCGGCGCGCGACTGTCGGCTGAACACATGACAGTCGGCGACCATGTTTCTCTTTCCTTTCCTTGTACCTTCCACTCAACACAACAGCTGACTACAGCGGCGGTGCACTGTCTTCTTCAACCCTACATCCCTGCTAAATATGCTATGAACAAGTGCAAAACGACTGCATGATCTCTTTTCGAAAAAATTCCACTGTGCATTATCAACCGGACATTATCAACAAAATTATACATGATCCAAAGACTGTGATTAACAATGCATTATCATAATCATATTAATAACCATACATTATCAACACTCAACTGAACCTAACCAAAACATTTTGTCACTTGAGGCATTGTCAAATTGATCATTCTCAACTAAATTATCCTAAATACGCATTATCCAAAGAGTAATACATCAACAATAATAATGCATTATCCCTGTGTCAATAATCATAATCAACATTAAACTGAAACTAATTAAAACATTTTCTATAAGAGGTAATTTCTCTTGAAACATTGTCGATTGGATCATTCTCATCTAAATTACCCCCACCATACCTAATCAACAAAACTATGCATTATCCAAAGACTGTGATTGACAATAATACATTTTCGCTAAGCAAAAATTGTGAATAAACAATGAACCTAGTTAAAACAGTTTCTATAAGAAACAATTCACTTGAAACATTGTCAATTGTTTGATTCTCAACTAATTTATCCTCCATACATTATCAACTATACATTATACGAATACTAGTAATATATTAACAATAATAACGCATTACCACTAACCAAAAATCGCCAATAACCACACTTGATCAACAGTCAACTGAACCTAATTAAAACATTTTCTATAAGAAGCAATAATTGCTCTTGAAACTTTGTCAATTGGATCATTCTTAACTAAATTATCCCCACAACTACACAATTTCAACTCCACTTTATCAATAATGCAAACGAAAAAATGATACTTTAGAAACTTTTTAGTTGAAGACTTGCTAATTTTGCATACGCCACTGCTAATTTACTTATTGATTTGAATGAGCATCGAGTACAATAAACGATCCTGTTGGAATTGGCGTATTAAATTGTATTGATAGGTTGTATACAACACGTAGGTATAATTTATAAGCGCACAACACAAGTACAGATGGATTAACAGGAAGCTTTCTGTGTCTGTCAATTACTAAGCGGATGACAAAATTTATTGTACCCGTATGTAAATTACCGATACGGAATAATAACGATTCAATTAAATCTTAGATATCTTATTATAAACATCAACGAAACATTATTTATGAGAAAACTTTAGCAGTTCTTGCAGTATCTAAGAAATCGCAACATTCTCAAGGAAGATACTGATGTGATATTCTTATATATCTGTATCAATTTCATTTTTAAATTGATTGAAATGTACCAGGTCACACTTGTGAGTAAATCTTAAAATTCTATCTACAACAAAATGCATTGCCAACATTCCTTATCGTCATTTGAGCAGGTATTTATAGATTTTCGTCTGAATTTTTCCTAATAATGTTTTTTTCCGAAAAATCCTCGTTCGTGCGAGGTGAATATCTCTCTGTTCCACATTTGCATTATTCCCAGAGTTTAATAGCATTAAAATGTGTGATTTCATTCATAAAACTAAAACCGTTGTGACTAATAAAACCAATTAAAAAACATGCGTTGAAAACAGATATGTAATTTTTTCAAGTGTGTCACAACCAAGCTCATTGTGTATTAACCCAATTAAAAATTCTGGAAATCTAATTTGGTTCACCAGCAAAACAGATGAATAAAAATAATAATTATGTACAAATTCTATTGTATTTATTGGAAAATATTATACCATATTATACCAAGTTTTAAATTAATATATACATAAGATCATTTCTGGACTTTGTAAGTAAATTAGTGTACGTGCAAAATGTTGCTGGTGAGATTTATGAAAAGCAAATGCAAATATTGCATAATTATCTTTGTTAATTATTTACTCTCCGCGACATCCTTGAGATAAAAAAGATTTGTTGATACGAATTATGCGCTTAAATAGAAAATATAAACAAAGCTTTTTTTTCTTAAACTTAAATAAATTATGAGATTGACAGATTCACAGCAGACTTTGAAAATAAATCATATGTTTTTACGAATCATACGTTTTAACATTTAATAATTATACTATACAAAAAAGAATCGTTAATTTACATTACAAGTTTTTTCAAGGTCTTTGTTATAAATGGTTACTACAAACGTTCATACATTTTCACTGCACACATTTTATATAATCATTAAAAATATGTCGAAATTGGAGAGGTAGAAATGCTGCTCTTTAAAACTCATTTTAGCCTTATTTAGCATATTAAATTTCAAAGTATGATAGTGAAAAATGTCTACAGTTTACCACATGATTCTCACTCATAAACGAATTAAATAAAATCTAACGTGCCTATACTAAATTTATTTACAGGATGTTATTTAAAATTCTTACCCATTATACTCCTTAAACCGAAAACTCTTAGTCCTTTTAAGCACTTTTTGCACCGGTAAACTCAACCTTCTGATGCTTAATCGCAGGGGTGATTTTTTGGATTCCCTAATGACAACATTAAATGGCACAGACAGGCTATTAGACCGAATTTCCGATACATTTTTACCGTGTTTCCTCAACATTTTCTCAACGTTACACTATCTCGACTTTAACACTTGACGTGAACAGCACACTAATTTTTTTATCTAATGTAATAATTGCTTTCATTTTTCTCAAAAATGTATTATCTTTTATCATTGCTGTGTTTGTATTAAATTTAAATTAAGCATATAACATACATAGTGTTGCCACTAAATACAGAGAATATACTAAATAAATAAATTCAAACGTAAACGTACTGCAAAATTTCGCTAGGGAGGTCAATGTGTTATCGAATATTTAATGTTAATGTAGAGTCGTTATTATTAACAGGCTCGCATATATTTACAATTTTTTACATAAAATTTTAAGTAAAATTTACCTTCACCTCAACACATGAAAATCCCACACACCTCACTAAATGTATTTGAAGATATTTACCAAAACCGGTACAAAAACTGAACAGATCTCATCCGATATGCGCAATTTTATTCTCAACAAATCAACCAAGCTGATATTACCTTACATGTGAACAAATTGTTATTTACGCTTCGATTTTATTATACCCGTTCGAACCGCGTTTAAAAATCTATTTGATAACGATTATTTTAAACATTGCTTGTAGTGTTAAACAACCGAACAATCACATTATTGTAGAAGCAAAAAGGAATCAATTAATTCGACAGCGTAATCACCAAACAGTTGATGGGAAATACTTGTATATTTCAGTTTTGAAATGCGTTAAGGTTATTTTTTTTCGATTACCAAAGCGGTGTCACGAGATATAAATTATGCATGTAATTATTTCATAGTTGATTGTAAGTAAACTTGGATTTTAATGTAGGTAAGTACCTAACTTTTGTTATATAGGATTTTCGATCGAAAAAATTGGAGTTATAAAAATTTAGAGTTATAGCACTTACGCATTGAGGAGCGCGGGGTCCAAATGCGGCTTCAAATTTTCCAGTTCTGGTGCATAATCTTTAATTGATCGTTGGATTTTCGCTTGATGCAATTCTATTTCGCTGCAAAAAATATGTTCATCGTAAAATTAAAATCGTATTTAAAGTTGCATATGCAAGCCGAAAGAATCAATTTTATTTTTATCTTATCCCCAATTTTTCGACTTCCTTTCCCTCGCAAGAGGGAAATTGATTAAATTTCTAAGTTATCAAACACTCAAAAGATTGGATTGAACAGGAAAAATTGTAAGAAATGATATGAATAAGTAGGAGGAACAATATTTTTGAAACTAATTGGGAATTAACTAGTAATTTTATTACTTTACTAAAAACGTTTCAACCCTGAACCTCGATCGATACTAGTGTAAAATATTTATCTACTTTTATAACAAAACATTCAATTACTATACAATTTGGTATTAATATAAAATAATAGTGCCTTAAATAAAGTCCTAAGCAATTAATATTTCACGAGTCAAAGTCATTGCTAGTGGGTCAAGGGATAATCGAATCGAAAGTGCAATAAATAATAAAATAACCATACACATGCCTTTGTCGATTGCACTTCAAAATCACCATCAATAATACAATAAATATTTAATAAGAAAATAAAATAATCGACCGACATATCACCTGCATAGAAGCCTTTTCGACCGACATCCCTCTGACCTACATTCCAAGTTACCATCTTTCAATAATAGAAAAACCTTCTTTTTATTACCTGGAAAACCCGTTCGAGCCGATCGATTTCCCTAGCTATCGGTCACTTAATTGATGTACTACAAATTTTGCGACAAATTGCATGTATTTTTCGATGATTTTACCCGCGGAACTCGACGCTCGGCACTGCAGTAAACCGCCCTTTCCAAACTACGACGACGTTAATTCGGCGGAAAACAGGAGCGTCGCGACGCGCCGGCCTCTCCGAATTTTTTAATCCAACTATTAACTTTTGGGGTAGTTAATAATGATGGCAAAAATTATTCAATACTATCTACAACACGTTTTTCTTATGCATATTTCAAGGGAAACATCGTTACTGTAGCTACATTTCTTTATATTATTCCATGAATCTGATGATGAGTTTAATTTAGCCAGTGTTGCATATTAAAAAGACGCAACCGAGTTTAACGCCTACTAACTTGGAATCCATCGAGTTTTCGTGATAAGCTCGAGTTGTTTTCGCGGTGAAATCAAACCGGATATTTCCAGATCGTCGGGCGCTGTCAAAGTTGCGGATAATCCGCCAAAGAAAAACTCTCACGTGGGTTTTCGAAGTTTTCGAATTTTCATATTCAAAAGATGCAAATTTTCTTTTGAGGAATGTTTCTCTTTACTTTTGTATGTATTCGCGGGTAATCTCTTGACAATAAGATGTCTGGGATGGCCGGTATATAAAAGCTGGATGGGGCCTGGAGAAGTCCAGCCTTAGTTCGAAGCTTGTTGAGTTCGAGTGGTGTCTGTTGGTTTTCTTACAATGGGGTATGTAACAACTAAATTCTATAATTTTTTAAGTGTCTCATGCGATGATGTTTTTGGAATTTTTCTAGTAATAACGGGCTGTACAGCCTCTGCTTATTTTTACTAATTTCGACGCTTTGCATCTACAACAGCGAGGAGCAATTGACTTTCTCCAAAAGTTGGAGTCCAGGTGGTAAACGATCAGAAGAGAATCGTAATTTCCAATTAAACATACCGGCTAATGCTATATGCCATTTTCTTATCGTAAGTGCTAGTTTAATTCCATTATTCTTGAAAGAATAGAATATGGATTTAAATTATCGAGTACTCTACATTTTGTATTATATTTTTAGAATCAAATTCGACAGATGAACGCCTGTCCAAATCCTCAAGTCAACAATGAGGTAGAAAATTTCCTGATGCATAATCAGATTTGAAATATTTACGACAACATTATTGTCAAACATTATTCGTGAATGTATAAATAACGTAATTAAAACTGATTTCTTTTTAGTATTACCTACCCATTTTCCACACATATAAACCAATATTTATCTAACTTTTAGTTAGATAACCAGTAATACTTTATCGATTCACTTTTAGAATTACTCGAACTAAAAACTTGTTAGAAATAAACAGGTAAATTAAATAAATGTATAATTAAAAAAACCCAACACTCATAAATTACAAACTAAAAAAATTAAATAAATAATTCACAACCTCATAAAATCACAAAATATAATAAATATTAGCATTTTCGTTAAATTCTTTACAAACGTCCCATCCATGGATCGAAAACGATGCCTCCGGTAAAACGATCTTGGACGAATCTTCTGTTCACCCTAGATTTGGGCAGGCTTCGTTTCCGTTTCAAATTGTATTTGGAAGGCATTTCCCTTTGAGTGGTCTCTTCCACGTCGCTCGATGGATATTTGAGCAATTTTTCAACAACAGGAGCATCTACAGACCTTCTAAACACCGGCGCCAGTTCTTCGTTATCGAAAATATCTTCAGGAAAAAGAACCTCTCGCTTGGAAATAGTCGCTTCTTCTTCACTCGATTCACTGTTATTCACATCTTGTGGTAGATTTTTGCTATCAACCACTATCGAATATTCGATTATTAGGATTGCTGTGATTATGAATTTGTACATTTTGAACTGCTTGATTTTAACTGTTAACTCCTTGGAGAATTTATAGGTATTTATACGTTTCCTCTTCCACGGCACAAGGTAAAAATTATAATAACAGTAATAATGCTAAATAGTCTTACAAACAAATAATAGTACAAGTGTTAAATGTTTAACGAAATTTGTTACTAAATTTAGTGCGATTTACGTTCGAAACTACAATCAATATTGACCAGTTAATTTAACAAGTTGTTTGTAAAAATATTATTCTTACAATTGTGACTAATTGTACGTTCAAAGGCAACGATGATTGATGTTCCAAAATTTGCTGGAGCTTACCTAGTAATTTATTGTAAATAAAACTAATTTCCTTGTAATTCACGAATATATTGTGTCCACACTTACCGGAATAAATAGATAAATTGGGAATTCCTGTAAATAGAGTAGCCAATAAACAGTAGAATTGTCAATAATAGTCTCAATCATTAGGTCAATCAAATATTGCTCATGTAAGGCAAAATAACAACTCTAGGAGTTAAAAAAATTGGAATTTTTTCATATTGGGTTGTTTGAGATTATGTAATTTAGTGCCATAGAAATTAATAAAGTTGAAACACTTTTATATGAATTTTTAATACAAAAAATGGCCAATTTAAAAAAATTAGTGTGAAATTATTTTAATAGCTTCTCTTATTTTGTATAAAAAGTAGAGTTTTCTCCAACGCGTTTTGTAGATTGAACAATCTTGACTAGGTGAGACAAATTTTCTTTCTATATCACACAAAATTTTACCGATTATATTTTAGTGCAAGATTATTTTAATCGAAAATGATCGACATTCTATCAGCATTCCTCGGTCCGAAATTGGTCCTGCAAGCAGCCGGTCGATGGCCAGAAAAAAACACCACATTCGGCATAAAATTCAGGGAATTCATATCCGATTTCATAGAAATCCTGCTCTGTCTCTTCAGCATAGCAGAAATCATGTATCTGCTAGACGATTATGTAAATTTGTACGACCACATGTCTTTGTGCTTCACTTTATTCGGCCATTTAGTCAAGATCCTGATCTTCAGGGTGTACAGCAAAAACTGGCTGGAGATTTTCGATCAATGCAAATCGAAGCACTTCAACGATTACCCGGCTGAGTTCGATTATATCTTGAGGAAGAATATTAATTTCACCGTCCATTTCGGTAATTCTTTTATAACAGCTTGCGTTGTAGCCGCTGCTATGTATGCTATCGTACCGATGTTATCCGCTGTTGATTTACCCATAAGATGTTCGATTTTTTCGCAGGAATATAGGGCTGTTGTGTACACATTTCAAACGATCTGTAAGCTAATCTGTGGAAATTATACAGGGAATTGGTTGTTGAATCGGTTGATTTTAGCTCTATTGGTTTGCGCTTCCACAAATTCCTCTATCGAAGCTGTCACGATGAACGCGATAAGCATATGTGTTGGACAATTGAGCATATTGGTGGAGAAAATCAAATCGTTTAATATGGTAGACAAGCGAATCGATATTTTCGAATGCATTAAGCACCATAATGAAATTATTCGGTAAATTTTTATACTTTAAATCCGTATAACATGTGAATTGTTTTTTTTTTGTAGCTTTGTTGGTAATGTTGAAGCAGCCATATCCAAAATAGTTCTAGTTGAATATTTGAAGAGCATATTAGTGCTTTGTTTCTTAGGATTCCAGTTGATACATGTGATTTTGTTGGAGTAATGTGAGGATTTTAAGTAAAAAAATACTTTTTAGGTCAATCCTATTAGTGTAAATTTCGCCAGAATTACAGTTTATGCGTATTGCATGGTAGGACAGCTGGCTATTTACTGTTTCTTCGCTAACGAAATTTTAATTAAGGTGATTTCATTGTAATAAAATCCTGTAGGAATGGTTAGTGAACTGTAGGTTTTTAATTGTAGAGTACAGCTGTTGGGGAGGCTTGTTACCTTAGTTCCTGGTACGATTTTGACCAAAAAACCAAAAAATCTTTAATATTAATCATGGAAAGAAGCAAGAGACCGTTGTATATTACAGCAGGAAATTTTTCTGTCGTGTCGTTGAATTCGTTTACATCGGTACGAGAATTTATGTTAATTTTATTTGTTCACAGTTATTCGTTGAAAATACTCACAAGAAAAGCAACAACAATTTTTAGATGGATCCAAAACAATTTTTGGGTTAATGTTCGATATGTTTTAGATCATGAAAACGTCATACACTTATTTTGCATTGATGGAAACACTTTACAAAGACAGCAGGAAGTCTTAATTTAGATTTTTTTAAATAATTCAAATTAAATTGTAGGTATGGTACAACATTCGTGTATCTATATAGAATAAATCGTATACGCAGCATTTATTCCTCTATAAATTAAATCAAATAACATCCAAATATACGCCATTTTATTACAGCTCTAACAAAAAATCCAAAAAAGTATAATACAAAACGCTATAACTACATACAATATTCTTTATACACAACAAACATATTTAACAACTAATATAAATAATATTTTTATGCGTTAATCTATTTTTTTTCTGAAGGGGGTATTGCTATTAGATAGAAAACGAGAGAGGGATAGCCAGGTAGGGTCACGATATTAAATTTTTTCTCGTAACTAGGCCAGCAATTTACTAAACAATTTGAAGAATCTACTGTGAATATTTAAATAACTATCAGCAGTTTCATTAACAGCAAGATTTCTTTTATACATTCTGCCTTATTAATCTGGGACTATTTAAAAGGTTGGTAATACTTAAAAAAAGTCAATTTTAGTACAAATTGCCTTTATAATTTTATACCTAAATCGAAAGGGTTTTTAAGTCTAACAATTCAGTCCATAGGTAATGGACAAATCCAATAATTAGATTGCCAGCATAGTTGAGAATATTTAACATTTGTCGCAATATTTATCGAACATGAATTTTTTCACTACTTAATGTTAATAATGAATCTAGTAAGAACTCGGCATTATGCTCTAAATTTTCTAGTGATTAATAGTAGTTTAGCGATAGTGAAATTTGCTTTAGAGATGATATAGCACTCTAACTTTACGTTTCTCCAACAGAATTCCAAAAATTACAATTTTAGGAGTTCAGTAAATTTTCAGTAAACGTTTTTACTGTAGTATCACAGATAGCCTGACACTATTTCGGAAATTAATTTGCAAAAAAAGCCAAGACTTTCACCCAACTTTTTACTTTCGTAATACCCATAAATAGATCAATAGAAAGTGTTGCTTTCCACAACATTTTATAGATTCAGTGTGTGATTTATTTTCTGTAACAAAAATACCTTTTTACATATCCTTTAATTGACTGTTATAAAATTTATGCAAGTATTGTATTTAGTTTAAGATATACATATGTAGAGTGACTTGTGCGTAGAATTAAGCGTCAGGGAAATGCGTAAATTTTCTACAAAATCAGCTGTATAAAAATAAATTAGAATACAACTTCATTTTCCTAAAAAGTATACTTACTATTCCTTCTTCGCTATTCCATTTAAACAGTCAATGCAAACGTTGCTACACTACAAAACCTCTTGTATAAAATCCTTACTAATATTCAAATTGTTCATTTCACTATATTTTTTATATTTAGAAAATTATGATATGACTTGATATATAAGTTTGAAAAAGTCTCATTTGCAGTATCTAACCAACACCTATTTAACAGACTTTTAAGCTCAACTCTGATCTATACCGGTTACAACTTTTCTCTTTTTGTTTGCAGATTGGTAAAAAAATTCACGTTCGATTTGAAATTGCGCAAAAATTTTTATGTCTGCCCATAAAAACTGTTGATCATCGTAAAATGATGAGAAAATCGAACTTAACTGTTACAATCAACATTTTTTATGTAGGTTAGTGTATGTACAAATTATATTTAATATCAAACAATTTTTGCGAGGAATTTATTTGCATGTAATAATATATAAAATGATTCTCGTATATTGCTAAATCATTCTGTATTTTATTAAATTGGTGAAATGTTATTGTCGTAGATGTTTAATTAATCCACCATTCAATAATTTTTCCTCGAATTGCATACATCATTTTTATTTATAGAAAATTCAAATTACGCTGGTTAGACGATTCAAAATATTTCACTAATAAAAAAAATGATATTTGCAATTTTACAATTAAATCAAACCAAAATTTTCATATAAAATATGCAACAATGAGCATAATGACAAGTAAATTCCTTGATTAGTATTTCTCATAGAATCAACATCGGTAAAGTTTAAAATCCGTTAAAAATAACAGATCGAAGAATTAATTTAGTTAGTTTACGTTGCAACAAGGATTCAGCACGCCTCATAAAAATTACGACAATCCTAAATTTACAAAGAGATCATCGAAAAGACTGAATTTTATCCCTAAAAAAGCAAATAGGGAACGTTTTAATTAGCATAAATCGCGCGGATATGTTACAAATCATGAACACTCTTATAGATTATGTTTTCCTAAAGTCTGTATTCTCTATTTTAAATCTTCTATTCATTCCACCAGTGCCGCGCTTTCGAGGAATAAAATTCATCATGTAAATCGGAAGTAGCTTCGAATTAGACAAGAGGTACTCTGAACCTTGAGCAAATTAGAAGATTAAAGGTATCACTGTCTCAATTTAAATAGTTCGTAGAGGCTAAACGCGACGATAAAGAATCCGATAAAGTCTCCTTACACGTACCACTCTTTAATGTCTTTGCTGTCCCGTTTCTTCTGCTTCTGCTGCGCCGCCATTTGGGCGGATTTGTCGCCGTTGCGCAGCGCCCCGTTCAGCTGGTACTGCGACTGATGGTGCCCGTTGGTGCTCGACGAGCTGCCCAACAGGGCGGCGTTGGGGCCCTGCTGGTACCCCTTCGACTCCTCCACTTTGTAGGAGCGGTCGCCGCGCGATTTGAACTTCAGAATCACCAGGATGATGAGGATGACTGCTATGAGGGCACCCGCTATTATACCTATAACTAAAGCGATAAATTCGGACGTTTCTGAGGTGACTCGGTTGTCTTTGGGCGTGTAAGGGTGTTTGATCGGCGGCGTCTCCGGCGGGGAATGTATTACGTGAGGCGGTAGCCTTTGCGTTGTGGTGGTCGGTTGGGTTGGATAAGTGTTGATGTCGGTTGCTATTGATGTTGTGAAAACGCTCGTCGAATGATGGCTGTGGTTGTGGTGTACTTTGGTAGAGTGATATTCCGCGTTGGTTGTCGCAGTTGCATCGTCTGTAGTTTTAGTCGATGATGCTGTTGTATTCGTTACTCCGCTACCGGTTGAATGCGATGGAATCGACGATTCGCCTTCGGTGGTGTGATAACTGGAATTATCCGTCGGGATGGTTTCGGTTTGATCTAAAACATTTATCGCTATAATTTACTCCACTCGCTAATTAAATTATACTCCACCTGTAACTTTCGTCGACGAATCCTCTGTGGTTTCTTCCGAACCGGAACCTTGGAAGCAATCTTCGTCGTCGCACGGTTTCTTATCGTCTCCTCCTTCGACTGCGTTCTTCGGTTTCTTCGTAGGCGGTGGTCTTGTAGGTGGAATAAACACCGGAGTGATTAGATCGTCGTCTCCGGAACCAGTTTCCGGCAAAGGCGGACATTCATCCTCGTCGTCGCCGTTGTTACAACCCGAACCGGCTCCGCTGAATATCAAATCGTCTTCCAAACCGGGGAAACCGGACGCCGGCGTTTGTTGCATTTTTTGCAGATGCTCGTGCTTGTCCATCTGAGTGAGTTGCACGTCTCCGCGTACTGAGGTATGTAAATCTTTCTCAGCGGCCAAGTCGAGTATTCTGAGTCCGTTAACTACCACTCCGGATATCTTCCCGGCGAACGGTCGTTCTATTCTACCTTTCTTCGTCCATTTCCCTCCTATTTGGATCTGGGATTGGGTGTTGAAGACTTGCAATTGATGTCCTGAAGTATATAATCGATTTTATAATCAACAATATCGAGTTTCTAATGAAGAATTTACCTAGAGGATGAACGGTTTGAACGTTGTAATCGTCGACTTGCAGCGTAGCGTTGTGTCCTTGCCGGTGGTATCTGATAACGTGATATGCATTGTCGTTGACTTTAACGGAGATTTCTCCGAGTAGGAGATCGTTAGAACCCAAATTGTACACCACGAAAACGTTGCCCTCGACCTACAAACGAATTCATCGATATCGCCAACAGTTAGGAAATAGCTCGCGATGGGAAACTTACAATATACATTTCGATGTAGTCGTTGGAAGTGCCGCTAACGATTCGCAGCAATACCGCGTCCGATTTGGTGGTCATCACTCCTAAGGCGACCGTGTCCTCTTGCATCTCCGGCATGTTCTCTTCGGGATATGTATAAATTATGATGCCTCTGTTAGGTCCGAATTCATACGAGACTGATTCTGAAATAGGATGGTTAATTTATCGAAGCGAGCTTGTAAATTAAACTCACCATCAGAACAAGTAGGTCCGGTAAAGGAAGTCATATCACAGTCGCAGGTATAAGAAGTCCACTGTTGAACGCAAATCCCGGCGTTGGCGCAAACATTATGGCTGCACTTCGCAGACTGGCCTAAAAAAAAATAACAACCAATATAACAGGATAAACGCGAAATTAGAGAACGAATCCCCGCAGACGATTAACCCAAATTCTCGATGTTTAATTATAATATCATAAAAGCGAATTCAATCAGATAAAATTCACTTACGCTAATGTTGTTCCCGGGGAAACCCGCAAGTGACGTGTGCACACGAGCAAGTACTTACCTATAGGCATTAATGAAATTGCACAAACGGTTCGTGAATGTACAGAACAAACGATACCGTTGAATTTAGGGCGACCTTTTGTGCTCTCGTTACGCCGATGGAGACAAAGCTACAACCAGCTTTCTGGCCGCAACGAATAAAATTAATTTGCTCCGCAGCGATGTCGAACAATGCCAAACGGAGAGCGAAATATTATTAAGAAATTTCCAGAATGGAGGAATTCAAACGGTAAATAAAAGTTACCGTTAAAGTGGAAGTGTGATTGCTAGAGCCAATTTTATTATAACTTTTATTAAATATTTCGTTAATAGACAGTTTGGTATGCGCGCTCAGTAAAATCGATTAAACGTTTAATTCCTAGCGAAAGCAGAACATCGTTTGATGTTTAAAAGCCTAAACGCAATTGACTAATCGTGTTAGATTATTATCATTCGACAAACGACCGATGAAACCTGATTAACCTATTCGAAAAGGGTGGTCAACAACAAAAAGTTTCCCAACCCTTTCGAACCCTTCGAATTACTCGCTGTATATAATAATTAAAGCAGTGAGTGGATTAAAAACGTCATTTTCACCAAACAAAAATTTTTATACTCACTTTCACAACCTGACACGACTTGCGAGCTGTGCACAACGGCATCTTCCACGATGTGCGGCGATTCTCCATTCAGGTCCAAGCCTGCAATGCAGCCTTCGAAACCGTGAGTGGACCTGATCACCTCTTGCGGTAGCAACGGGTACAAGTCTTTATACACCCCGCCCAAGTACAATATCCCGTCCAGTTCCAGGTTACCTAAATTTGGAAATTTCCTTCGTACTATCTGCTGGTTACTACGCGAATTAAATTACCTGTTCCTAAGTTAGCAGCTATCACAACATCATCGTCAACCATAAGAGTGTGTTGTTTCACCGAAGGGCGTCTGATCCCGACAGTATGCCAGCGATTGTCATTCAAATGCGTTCGATGTGTATCTCTTAAAGTCACAGTACCATCTCCTAAACAATAATACCAGTGATAAGCTTCCAATATTACAATGATTTTTCACCAGTTCCACTTACCTACGTTGACGATGTAATTGATATGACCGTCTACCAGTTCCACAGCCACGAAATCCTCCTTCTTGCCCCCGTTGAACAAAATCAGTCCGTTAGGCTCTCTGGTCTTGAACATGAAGTCGATATGTATGCTGGAATAGGCCCGAAGCATCGGCAAGCCGATGAAAGTGTGTTTGGAACGAAAGGTGACCGGTCGGTGCAGGTTATCGGTGGCGTGTTTGACGAATTTAGCGGCGATCTGTAAAGGTTGGAGGATTAATTAAGCCGCCCCGCGTGTGTTAGAGGATTATATTGATGTTACTTTGATGTTGGGAAAGCCTGCGATGGATTGTTCGGTGCTCAAGGCCTTCGCTAGTTCTATGTACGGAATGTTGTTGAAGTAAAACTGTTGAATGTCGCCTATGAAGTTCGGAACCGTCGTCGACATGCTGATCTCTTCCTCCAGATGATACAGCCCGCCTAAATGGACTGTACGCCATTGGAGGGCGATGTATTTTCCTTGTATCTCGGCTGAAAGAGATGTGCAGAAAGTTTTTTAGCGCTGTTTGTTCTCCCGTGAACAGTTCGCGTTGAAACACACCACCCACGCCTGATAATTCCCTTTCTATTAATAGAGGATTCGCGTTGGCGACACGAAATTTTTCCCGCTGATCGGCAAAACGAGCGAAATCGTTTTAGCGTACAAAAAAAAAGGGTTCGAGTTAATTGGTTGTAAACGAAGTACAAAAACTATGTTTATAGGGACAAAATATGCAACTGTAGATAATCCGATAGTCTTCCCACACTCAAGTCGTGTGAGAAGTTCAGTTGAAGTTAGTGAGATAGGAATTTTAATCAAAGCATCGGTTTTTGCTCCGGTTTCGTTCAAATCACTCACCTCTAATAGGCGACTGGCCGTCGAGTTGCAACTTCAAATTCGATCCCCTTCTGGACAGCCTCACCGTGTGGAATTCGTTGTCGTTGACGTTCTGGCCGGCCAGCAGGATCTGCGAAACGACGTCGTTATCTCGGTTAAAATCCGATCCGCCCCTTCGGCGGCGTTCCGAATCAACTACCTTATCTTTCTCCCTGTCCTCTTTCTTCTTCTCTCTGACGCCCAGCCGCAAGGCGAGCCGGATCCGTCCGGCCGCCACCGCCAGTTCGATTCTATCGCCCGTCTCCGCCGTCGAGGTGATCAGCAACAAACCCAACGGTTTGCTCGTCCTGCGAAACCGAAAAAAAAACCGTTTTATTTCGCGTTTTATTCCACCCCTATTCGCCTGCAGAGAGATACGACCCGATGAAAGAGTTTCATAAATATAATCCGAATTGCTGAGATAGAGAAAAAAACGATCGATTAAATGAATCCCTCCTGCAAAACACCCGACTGTATAGCTGTAAGGATTTTAGTGTAAATTACCGGAATCTGAGGACGATGTCTTCGGTTTGGGTGACCTGTTCGACGTCCATGGTGATCTCCATGTGCTGGGTGCCGTTGAAGCTGAGCGTGGGGGCCTCTTTGCCGCAGGTGGGGCCGCTGAAGAGGGTGTTGGTGCAGTCGCAGATGAACCGGTTCCAGCCCTCCGTGCAGGTGCCGCCGTTCAGGCACGGCTGCGACGGGCACTGCTGGGGTTGGTTGTGGCACAAGGTCCTGATGGAACCTGCGAAGGAATTTTTATGAAGATGGTGCAATGGAATTGGCCGTTTTGTATACAAGGAGATGTATTTAGAAAGCAGAATGGAGGAGTTGAAAAATCAAATAAGTGAAGAAATTTGCACTGTTTTGTACAAGTAGATGCAAAGAGGAGAATGAAGGAGTTGAAGAATCAAATAAGTGAAGAAATTTATACTATTTTGTACAAGTAGATGCAGAGAGGAGAATGAAGGAGTTGAAGAATCAAATAAGTGAATAAATTTGCACTGTTTTGTACAAGTAGATGCAAAGAGGAGAATGAAGTAGTGGAAGAATCAAATAAGTGAAGAAATTTATACTGTTTTGTACAAGTAGATGCAAAGAGGAGAATGAAGGAGTTGAAGAATCAAATAAGTGAAGAAATTTATACTATTTTGTACAAGTAGATGCAGAGAGGAGAATGAAGTAGTGGAAGAATCAAATAAGTAAAGAAATTTATACTGTTTTGTACAAGTAGATGCAAAGAGGAGAATGAAGTAGTGGAAGAATCAAATAAGTAAAGAAATTTATACTGTTTTGTACAAGTAGATGCAAAGAGGAGAATGAAGGTATTGAAGAATCAAATAATTGTAGTAATTTATACTGTTTTGTATAAGTAAATGCAGAGAGGAGAATAAAGGAGTTTATACTTGGGTTAGAGTAAATAATATAAGGAAAGATCTTGATTAGGAAACGTTTTTATGAATACGCTAAAATCAGCTCAATTTCAGATAACAAAAAAAATTGGGTTTTGTGTTGGGAAAAAATACATCAAGATTGTTATTATTTACGATCCGACACGAACTAATGGATTCAAATAAAAACGTACGTGAATCGAAATGACGATAACCTGAAAATTAAGTCGCGTGTCGACTGTCATTTGCTATTCGTTAATAATAAAAAAAAATATATATAGTCGATTTTCGGACTTTATGTTTATTGTTACCCAAAACGATTGTTGGTCGTTTTCTATTTTCCGATCGATAACTACCCGCCATTACGTTCCAAACGGCATTAATAGTTAATTTAAATTCACCGAAACGAATTTACTTGAATACAATTTTTATGCATTAAATTCCAAAACCACTTAACTTTTATACGAAAATGAATCGCATGTCAGTAATCGGCATACAAAATCGAGTACCTGTATTACAATCAAAATTTGCCAGCAATTTTATTGCAGGATAATTAAACGCTACACTCGTAAATGCAGCCAAAAAAAAAATACAATCGTGTAAAGTAAACACATTTACCTGAGTCCTGTTCCCTGGCGTAACTAGCGACGTCCATCGCCTCGTTGTTCATAATGAGGTCCTTGAAGCATCCGACGAATCCTTGCTGGAGCACCGCCGTCCAGAGTCCCGCGGGAACGGGGATTTCGGAGAAAGGGGGCCCCAGTCCGCCTACGTACATGTTACCGTCCAACTCCAAGCTCGAAGAACCCTCTAAAACGAGAGATAACGCCGAAGTTTAGAAGAGCAACTCAAAGTCCGGCCCGGAACTGGCGTTGTTTTACCGTTGATGGCAAAGTAAATTCGTTATTAGAACTCATTAGAAATTCCCTTTCGCCGACGGGGCGGCTTTATTACTTTTGCTTTCTTATTCGGGAGGAAAAAAATACAGCGAAGGGAAGAGAGTCGATCCCGCCGGCTAATTAGCATTCGAAATTCTTCGCTCGCACCGCAAACAAAAACTAATTTCACGTCCATTAAACGCGACCTAGAAGGCCCCGTTTCGCCCTTTCGCTTCGAGATGCTCCCTTCGGATGGCCTTTTTCAATTGCCTTATAATTACAAGAACTTTCGATACTCAAATTCTTATAGACACTACACTTTCCCAAATAAAATCTAAATTTTATAGCGAGCTGTTCGCATGAATAAGAATCTATTTAAAAAATAAATATTTATGTATATGATGCATACATAATAGAACAATCCCATCGCCTCTCGAAAGAAAACAACAAAAAATTCGCTATTCCATGGGAATCGCGTTTTCGAATTAAATTATAACGGTATGCGGAATGCGGACGGCATCCCCAGAACGTGGCCGGATCAGAATTTGAATAATTGCCTCCTTCTGGCCGATACGGCGATGCAGCGACGCCGACGTAGCGGGAGCGCCGCGACGCCGACGCCTCGTAATTGCAGCAATTACGATACAAAGTTGCCAACTTCACATTCGGAGATACTTAACCGGGTGGGATTTTAAATAATGGTTGTGTGGCACACCTAAACTCATTAGTATTGAAATTATGATAATAATTATGTTAAAATTTTCGGTTTGGTTGTTACATGTTAATTAGAATTTGAGTATTAGATAGTTTGAGTTAAGATAAAATAATTTATCCTCTTTTAAAAAAGTTGTATCTACCGTACTGGAATTGAATATGCGACAAGAAAACGTTAGGAAGACTTTTCCCTATCCCCGAAAGGATAACATCGTCTCAAAACGGTAATTTCATTCGGGTACAATGTAGTATATCTTTATTCCTTTTCCTCATATTTTTTCTCGGTATCACGCCGAAGAGCTTACGTGACATTATACCGTTCGCAAAAAGTTTTCCGACGAAATATTCACGGGAATAAACTTGCACTTAGTGGTGTCAAAAAAAAACTGTATATATTTCTGTTTATTTACTCACCGACTGTCTTGAAATCGGTATGCAAACCATCCACTGTGATCCTGGAATCTCTTCCTGTGCGCCTGAAAGTGAATTCGTGCCAATTTCCATCGTCTATTCTTCTTCTTGACCCGCGCTGCTTCGAAGGGCCTGCACCGAGATCTATATGCACATAAATGTGCCCGTTGTAGATTTCCACAGCGAATAAATCCACCTGAAATTCGTAAGATTCTAATACAAAAAAATTTGTATTCCCGAAAGGGTTTCTTTCGAACGGTAACGGTAACACCCCAATCTGGCGGAACGTTCCCATTACTTAAAATCCGGGTGAAAAAAGTAAATCGGGCCGGATTAACGCTCGTAAACATCCCCGAGAAAAATCGAACCGGGGGGAGAAACTCACCCTAGGCGGTCTAATTCCACCGTTGAAAAGTATCAATCCATTGGCTTCGTTCGTGCGAAACTTGAAAGAAATGTTTCCAGATTTCTTGGCGCTCCACGGCGGCAGGATCTGGAAATTTATCAAAACGTGTGAGTTTCCAGAACGCCGTTGCGGTTGACAGTACTCGTTTTATGGATGTATTTATTGGTACACAAAAAAAAACCTTTAATTTTACAAGAGTGTAGCATTCGGATAATAAAATAAATTGGAATTTTTATAGTATCAATATGAATGAAAGGTTTCTTGGGGTTCCAAATCCCTACATCTGGACATGACACTGGTTTATTTTTAATCGATATAACGGCTCTGCCGGCGAATCGTGACTTTTTTACGGGATTCATCGCGATAGATTCGTTTCAATTTCGGTGGTAAACTCCTGCTCGGAGGATCAGCACTCGTATAATAAAATTAACGGAATCAATGTGGAAAAAATTACGGCGCGAATAATACATGCCGTAAGTGTTCGATCTAATTTTAGATTTCCACGAATTTTCGTGTATACAAGCAGCCTGAATCGATTTTTCCGCGTCTACGATACAAACCACTTACGGTCGATGATGTTTATGTAAAAATCGAATGCAATTCGAGGCGATTTGTTAACGCTCTTTGAAGCTATACAAGCTAAATGTCCAGATGTATCGATGAGTAAGTAAATAATAGGAAGATGGGTTACCAAATGGGATTCCCTGGTGGTGAACGTGACCGGATCGTGAGTCTCGCCCGCAGGACATTTGTAGTCTAGTCGGCCCACTACTTGGATTAGATGGCTGCCCGACCTTCCCAATTCCAATAGATTCAACCGCAATGTATCGGCCACGAATTCCACCTGAAGAACATTTGGTATAATTAATAATCACGACAGATTGTAGTCGGATGCTGAAATTTATAAATTGGGATTTTCTCGTTAAAATTATAACGATTTTAGGCGATATAGCATCGTAAAATTTAATTAGTTTTTACGCCTTATATGTATAAACTTTGGAGTGAAAATTTCGTTAATATTGTTGTTTAATAATTCAAATGATAAGTGGAAATTTACCATGTTTCGTAAATACACATATACTCAAAAATGTTTTGCATATTGTATAGTTGAAATGCCACGGCTCATTTATTATTTAAAATGACTTTTGTTGAATTATTTTTATTGTTAATGTTTATTCTCTTATGCAAAACATTTTGTGTATATATAGGGTGTAAGTCCAAAAGTGAAGGGGAAGATTCTGGGCCTCAAAATATTACGATCTGACCCAATTTGCTTTAGTAAAATATTGAAAATAAAAAAGATACAGAGTATCAAAGTTGAAACAAAAAAAAAATGATTTTTCGCAGCAGTTTCAAAGATTTTGGATGTACAGAAGTGAAAATTTGAAGACAGGTGTTTCAATGCTTGAGAAATCATAATATGAAAGTGAAGAGGAAGATTCTGGGCCTCAAAATATTACGATCTGACCCAACTTGCTTTAGTAAAATATTGAAAATAAAAAAGATACGGCGTATCAAAGTTTAAATAAAAAAAAAATGATTTTTCGCAGCAATTTCAAAGATTTTGGATGTACAAAAGCGAAAATTTAAAAACAGGTGTTTCAGTGCATTCAAAACAATTTAACAAAAGACATTTTAAATAATAAATGTCCAGTGGCATTTCAACATCACATAGTATAATAAGCAAAACATTTTTGAATGTGTCAGATTGCTGTATATTAAACACCATCCTTTAGGTTTTAGAGTACTAAACATAGAAATTTCCCCTTTACACTCATCGGAATTATAGCCATCCATAACGCCCACGGACGAAGTTCGAATTTTCCTGCACTTTGTGCACACGAGTATTTGTATACATAATAATTTCCGCCGAAGTTGGAAAACTCGTGATCACACAAATGGGAAAGCAAATACCCGAGTCCGTTCGCAACAGAACATTCATTTCGTCAGGCGAAATAAATAGTTGCGGGGCTTTGAAAGCGCCGAAATGTTAAGATATGAGTTTCTTCCGCAGTTTCCACCGACTGGCGGTTTCGTCGGCTTTTCCCGACGCAACTTCCACGCCAAAATTCGAACGTTTCGGGGGGTTTGTTGCTCGAACTAATTGACTCCCGATTTATTAACATGCTAATATGTTTGTATTTAATTCGTTTCGTTCGCTCGAAAAAACGTATTGTCCTCCATTTCCAGGCGGATAAATCGGCCGAAAATAAATTAATTGAATTTGCCTGTTTTTAGTTAATAATTCGATTTTGTTTGTATGCAATAATAAATCCACTTTTGTTTAAATTTATACTCCGTTGAAAATATTTAAACAGGCATCAACAAAGGGGGATATTTATTTAGTTTAATATAAGTTTAATACATAAAATAAAACCCCCATTTTCGCACATTAAACTCGTGATTAAAAGCAGATAATAATAACGAACGTCCCACTTACTTTTCTCATGCAACCCACGAAGTTATTGTGGACTCTCGCTCCAGGAAGTGCTCTCGTGTTGATGCTTCCTCCCACGTACACTCTGCTCGATGAAAGCATCGTGAATTTTCCGGCTATGTGCGAATGATCGGCGTAGACGCCATCGACAACAGCGGACAACTGAAACAACATAATTAATTTAATTACATCCAGGCACAAACGGCTGGTCTGAATTAAATTAATTTTATCGAAGTTTATCGGCGAAAAAGCCCTAAATAGGACCGATGTGTAGGTGTAACAAGCCTAAATTGTCAGAACGAAAATCGAAATATAGGTACGCCAATCGGAATGGAATAATTCAAGCACAAACAGGAGACGAATGGAAACCTGAAAGTGGAGTTTGATGTGGGTTAACATGCATATGAATGAACATGATCCCGAAATATACTTTGACCTTTCATACGAAGGTAGTTTCACCTTTGATCTGACCACTGAGTATTTAATGTCGAAGTAATGAGACTGTGTTAAATGAAATAAATATTGAGCATTATAATAATTAAATTATTCAATTTTACAATTGTGTACTTACCCTACAGAATGCTGTGATGGCTGATATCTGAAATAAATAATATAAAATTATATTACTAAAAGGATTTTACTAAGCTTCTGCAATTTACAGAGCTCCAGTTTATAGAATTTTGAGTGATAAATTGGAATTTTCAATATCTATACATTATTGAATTTAATTTAGTTATTACAATTGGATGCACGTAATTTGCTACCAATATTCATTTATAATTTACGGTAAATTGACAACATATCGAAAAACATAAACAAATTAATCGTTATATTTCATCAAACTAATGATTAATACCATGATAAACGCATTTGAATATTTAAATGGAACTCCAATAAATTTGTTTGCTTATTAGACTAAAATGTACTTTTTTAACATTTCAACATTCATAAATCAATTAAATGCATTTTTACACGTCATGATTACGAACATCAAAATCTATAGTTTGTATTTTAGCCCTAAATGAAGTTGACCTAAAAATGTAAAATGAATTATTATTGAAATTTACGTTCTATTTTTGACGCATAATTCAAAATTAAGTGAACCAATAGAGTGGAAAATATATTTTACGACACAATAAACGCATATATTCATTTAATAAAGCCGAACGATCGCACATAGAAAATTTTTGGTACCTATACGCTGTAATAAATTATTAATCGATTCATTAATAAGGATATATACCATCAGGTTTCCGATTAATTGCGCCAATTTTAATGTAATAAAGTATAAAAAATGATTGTCTGGGCACTTCTAGTTAAATAAAACTTCCAGTTCTAGTTAAATTGTATAAAAAATTTGGAGGAAAGTTCTACAAAAATCGTTTTTTGTAATATAATTGAACAAAATTCGACAAAAATTCCAGTTCAATTTCAACGCGACAGCTAAAACAACAATGGCGATGCACCTTTACAAACAGTTAAAATTCCCGTAAAACTAAAAGTTACGACGCGTAATTTCGTGTTTTTCATTAAAGTTGGAACATGTTAGCCGGTTAGTCGTTCGCGCTCGGCTTATTTTCAACACATCGAAAAACGAGGAAAGCTCTTCTCGACGTCTGGTTAGATAACGAAGTAATCTTCTTACGAAAATCCGCAAAAAAAATAGAAAAATATCAGGAAAAAGGCGTGAATATCTTTTGTAACCAACTGGTTTACATTTTACAGATCTTTTGTGTTTAATACTGTTATTTTAAATACCTCTTGTATCCTCCTATGTATGCTAACTTTGTGCCATTGATTGTCATCGAAACGCACTTTGTTCGGTTTGATTTGCATTTCTTGTTTACCATTCGATAGGCCCATCGTCAAGCTGAGGATTCCATCTTTGATCGCTACATTCAAGTAGTCGTTACCATCGCCTGTAGCAAATTAACCGACGATTAAATCGAAGCAACATTAAAATATAGAAGCATTAACTCACCGGTATAAAAGAGCAGGCCGTTCGGTTGTCTGGTTTTGAAGTAAAAAGTAACGGAATCTTGAGCGCTCACAATGGGTTCTCCGCCGGTTTGGCTCAAATCGTAGGAGAGGAACTCCGTGCCGCGGAAGACGGCTTCTGAAGGGGCTTTGTCTGGAAATAAAACAACAATTGCAGCCTATTATCGACTCGCTTAAGTCCCTAAGAGCGGCCCCGTATGGGCACTTCAACGGGCGCGTTTTGCAGATTCCACAAACACTCCAAGCGATCCGCAAACAAATTACAAACGAGCCGTTGTTTACGAGGAACTTTTTATCTTCTATTTTCGATCGCTTCGCGCGATCTAATTGCGGATTAATCCGAAGCGATCGATCAAACGAACCGAAAGACGTTTTCATTTCAGTGGAAAACTTTCGAGACTCCAATTAATCTCGACGTTTCGTCGTTGTTTCTCTTATGTATTTTCCGGAAAAGTCGATGCAATTTTCGCGGCAATCGGAATTCCTTCGACAGGGCAAATCCGCGACTACATGAGCTTTTCTTTATCTGCTTATGGTTAGGTAGTGGATAATAAATTTCGTGTACCAGAGTGCAATGAATTATTCAATGATATTAAGTAATAAGTCTTCTACGTTAGAACAAATTTTAGGTGGTTTTTTTGTTAATATTTCTCATGCAAATCGAGTTTTCCTTTGAGCGGGTATAAGGCGATTTTCCGACGTCGCCTTATCAGCTCCACAATAAAATTCCTCGACGTTCGGGAACGTTTTCCTTATTTTTTTCCTGAAAGATTGCCAGTTGTCGGAGGATGTTTATTTATTCCGCTGTAGCGGCTAAGCAACGAACATTCATCTCTCGTTGTTTCTTTCCGATTTTCTGACGTATGAAAAATTGAAAATAACAACGCTAAGCAAAGAACTAGAACTTTTATTATGTCGAATAAGTCCGCGCGAATTGCCTGCATTAAACCGGATTCTCCTCGCCGATATATCTACCATTTTCCGGAATGTCCATAATGGAATGACAGTAGATAAAGGGAATGCGGTACATTCGGCCTTTTCACCTCCCCCTATTTCTAGCCAGTTCACCGACATTCTCTAATGATTCGCTTAAGCTCCCGGATTAGCACGGATTAACCGAGAAACATTTAGGAAATCCTATCGGAGTCCATTTAAACTTTCCAGCTACCAGCTGACAAATCAATTACACCTTTAACAGGCTTATTAATATCTATTGTATTTAGTTCTTTTATGGCTTAATCATCCCATTCAATGGAACTCTAGGCTTCTCTAAATTATCAAAATTTCAAGACTTTTATCAAAACCTTAAATATATTACCAACAGATGATACTGTCAACAAACACCAATCCGTCCAATATCCTGTCCATTTATCAATTTCTCATCGTCGGTTCCTTCGTCCCCGCATTTTCGTAGTAACCACAGCACTATCTGTCAATTTCGGTAGCTTATTAGAGATAGCTCTCTATTCACTCTGCGGTCTCATTGTCGTCTATTCGGCTGCAATTTACGTGAGGAGAATCTAAAATTGGGCTCCTACGGTGGTCATTGATATGGGCTGTTTTGCAATACGTTGGTTTCCGGATTAATCGAATTCGAAATTAGCAGAAAAATTAGCAGATTCCTACCGAATTTGAGAACGGTTGAATTAGTTGTCTATATTTAAACTAATTTGTATCAAAGTGCTGAACAATGGGAACCAATTATTGGGGAGTGCATTGGATTTGCAGCTGGTATATCTGCGAAGTAGACTAATCACTTAGTACGCGAGCTTGATTGTTCTCGTCTTTACACATCTAGATTTAAAAACTTATGTATATAGTTAGTTGAAACCTGTTATTATTTTTTAAATCCCAACAACTATCTATTTTTCACAACATCCACAACATTAGGTACAAAGTTAATTTTCCTCTTCGAGTAGATTCGAGAGAATTTGCGCTGCCTCGGATGCGATTTCTCTGCAACTGGAGGATGCAATTTCCTATTAATGTAACGGCGATTCGCCTCCGCGTTAATTGCGAAACGGTTTTTCCTTGCTGTGGGTGTAAAAATGGAATTCCCGCAGAAGATAAAATCTCAATTTATAGCGTCTGCAATTATTCCATACACCGACGCGTTTTTTTTGCTTCAATTCGAATGATAAACGAACATCATCCCGCGTCGTTTGTTATCATTTAGCAAGAAAATCGGAACTCTAAACCCCGTTTATCCATCATCCTCGCCGGGCAATCCGCCTCTGTTATTAATTTAGTCTGCATCCCAGCCGGCTCATTATTCTCCATTTGTACACTCACGCCCTCTCTACTAGCTATCAACATCGGCGTGTCTTTGGAAAATACACCGAGATTTTAAATGAATAGTTCACTGGATATCTGGAAAATAATCGTAACGTCGTTTTATTGGAAAATTGCGTAACCCGCAGCGATTTTTGGAAAGTTCCGCGAAAGTTTAGAAGTGACTCCTTTAATAAAGTTGTATTTAGCCTTGAGGGGTTTCGTGATTGTTAATCCCGATCCTCGAGTAAATAGTGGACTGTTAAAATGGGTAATTCTACATTGTAGAATACTTCGGTGATAATTTTTCTCGTTGGGAATAGTAAAAGTTCCGGAATAATTGTCCTAATAAAATAAAGAAGCTTTGAAACCGAGCTCGATAAACTCGCTAACGTGTCTTTACACATACTTGTTGTTTTATTCGTAGTTAGTGCGATGTAATGGCGAAAGGTTAGACGAGGTTACATCGAAAAATACAACCTCATTTTTCCGGCTATATAGCTTGCATGTTGCGTGGAAATCGATTCGCCCGTCTGAACGTCTCTCTTCATCTGCGGGGAGCCGTTTATTTTATTCCTAAACCGCAATTTTTATTCGCCAGTTCGTGTTTTCCATGCTCCAGCCGCTAGCCAAACGAAATGGTTTCGACAGAACGAACTCGCCAATAAATTGCGAGAAATTGGAGAAAAAAATATTTACATTAACATCAGCAAACTCGAGCTATTGTATCTAGTTTCCATCACCCAGCAGGATATAGTTAGAGGAATGTAGATGATTAATTATTAATAAACAATTATCGCTCGTCGAAGATCAATACCGCAATTACGGCTTGAGAATATTGGATTGTGTTCGTTTGGCAAATCGCCTCCCCATTATTCCGCCCCCCATTTAAGCAAATATACGACAATAATCGGAAATTACGTGATAACTTTATTCGCTAAATTATCGTTACCCTTAATACCAAAGGATCCGGCGTCTCCAACACAAATCACACTTCAGTGTTTATTAGGATGCTCAACCACAGGACCGGTCTAAGATAAATCCACGCATTTCCAAACCTCCGATAAATATACTCACACCAACTTAGGAAGTTCCTCGCGATTATACCACGAATAAATTCAGTAAAATCGCTTGGTGAAGATAAGGAAAAATCTGTTCGCTATATGCAGACGGATCTGCGAATCGGTGGAAATTTCGCGGTGGGGATATCATGAATGCGTTAGAGGTCCCCGCGGAGCCGGGGATGCCTTCTTCACGCCCCAGTTTCCGCAAATTGGGAGGCGATACCGCCACCCCTAAGGGTGACAGCCCTTCGCCCGCCTTCCGCTTGCGGTTTCCACCCCGTAATTGAATGAATTCAGACGATTAGGGCGATGGTAGCGGCGCCGGGGTAATTATCGATGATATGGGTTGTTCATTGTATGAGGATGATCTCTTAAGGACGTTTCGGGGATATTTAATCGGGACGTTCTTCGCGTGATTAGCGAGAGTGTGTAGGTGGAAATTGGCCATAATTTTGGACAGTCGTTCAAGATTGTCTTGAACTGTTTCAAATGATTCTGAATTAATGACCGAAGTTATTTTAACAGCAAACTCGATTAAGGAACAATCCATCATACGGGTTATTTACCTGAGTAAATAAATATAGGAGTCTACTCGGATGGTATAATTTATTATTGGAAATAAAGGAAAATATCTCTATTTCACTTAGTATAAAATCGGGAACGTGAAACCGCATGGATTTCCACGAGGAGAGCAGCATTGATTACATTACCGTATTTATGTTCGCTGCCGGTTTTCCAATAATAATAAATCTCCCCATGCGTAATCCTCGCTTGTTAAAGGCTCCACTCACATATTTTATCTCCCGTCTAATTAATTGCCGCTTCCTTCGGCTTTTAAATCCTTCTTTTCGTTGAATTATATCACCGTAACCATAGCAGGTATCCCAATTATTTGATAACTTATTCCACGGTCCATTTGCCCTTTTATTAAGAGGGTAAACTTGGATGTATTTTCCTTTTCGAATTTATTTCGAAAATATTTCTTGCACGAAAACCGCCTTTTGCAGTCGAAAGATCAAACGATTTATTTACATGCTGGCCCCGTTGTGAGCCTTCGAAGAATTAACCAACAGCTACTCCAAATATTTTCGCGGTAATTTCGATATATCTCCGGAATTCCATCCCGAGATTATCCAACCGCGAAATATATCGAATTCGAGAAGTTTTCTATTCGATCTCATGTTTGTTTGTTCGTCTTTATTCGAAGGAAAACTTTGTCATTTTAAAAGTTGATCGACGAAGAAAATTATTTATCGATAAATGTATTGATGCAAGTCTATAAGTAATAGATTTAATATAGCGTTGTGTTTGGATCGGCACGATCCGCTGGCATAATTCAATTTATTTAAAATTCTTCGCGTAAACCGTCCGTAAATAAAAGGCAAACATGTTGGTTATATATTTCTCTTATTCCTCTGCGAAAACGCCGACTCGTCGGGCGATATTGTTTGCTTTCGACTATTTTTTTTTGCTTATACAACGAAGCAAACATGTGTTTTTATATTAAAAATCGCTCTCTCCTCTTGCACACGAGCAAACAAACAAGTATGGTCCTTTCGTCGCGAAAAGGAATTTTGCGCTTCGAGTGAAACTACAATAGTGGAATTGCAGTTTTACAGTTCTTGGTTGAATGGAAATATCGAAGAAAAAGGTCTGGAAGATGTTTCACAATTTTTAACCATTAATAACTGTTGTATATTTGTTAAATACGAAGGTCATATTTCCCCGCAATGTCAAGGAAATCCTGCATTCCAGCAATTGGTATTCTTTTCATGGTTTTATTAGTGAAGAAGACATGCAGAAAATGGAATTTTAATGGTTTTTCCTTCGCCATTTCGACGCACTTTCGTACAGAACCGGACCGAAACATTTGCGGCCCGTTTTTCGCGAAGATCTGAAAAGTTTTTCGATTTTCTAAAGCTCCTGGTAATGAGATTTTTCCCTTCATCCGTTCGATTACTCTAATTTAATCTGGCGCAAAAATCGGATATTTTCCAGAAAAATGGTAGCTTAAATCTATCAAAAACATACATATTGGCTCTGCAGATAACTCTAACTCGAATATTGACTTAAGTCTACCTAATGGAGATTGTATTTCAATTGGATTAATTACTGTTGGAGTAATTCAGACGTTGAGCAAGCGACGATTTCAATTCAATCTAATCAAGTGCAAGATCTTGCGAGTAATTAATCAAGTTAAAACGAGCACAATGATATTTAAACAAAAACAAATTAACGTGTCAATTAAGTAATTAAATAATTAACCCTCGAATAGTCGTTTGTAGTTACAGAGAACTCTATCGTAAAGTTCACATGGAACTTTTTAAAATTGAAGAAAACTGTGATGATGTCTTCTTTTGTGATTAACGTGTTGTAATATGTTTTGCACAAGATTCCAACTGGTCGTTCATCCCATCGCTTTAATAAAATCGTTTCAATGGAGAAACAAATTAATTTGCAAGAGACAATTGGGCTACTTTTTATAAAGCAAGTGGTTAGCAGTTATCTAAATTAGAATTCCCGAGTAAAATAAATCGGGTGTAACGAAACGACGCCTTTGTATCGTCGGTCTAAACAGTAAAGAAGAGCCCGTGATTTTTTTCCTCCATGCAAACAAATCTTCTCGCGACGCTATCAAGACGGAAAAAAGAAATATGCCGCCCAATTTGAAACAAAAAACCGGCGATCTCGGCGCGAAATAAGGAATAAAGGAGGAGAGTATCGAATAAAAGGGACGATGCCGTGGAAAACGAACAGCTCAGCATTCGACTTTCGACCGAAATGTTTCGGGAAGTTCCAAGCACGAGGAAGTTCGGGTTAATTTAATTCCATTTCGATGGATAATAAGCCCGGAATTTGAATTGTGCTTGGTAAGTTCCGAGAAATTCGCAAAAATTCCTCCTAATATTCTCCGATTAATAGAGGTAAAAACTTATGTTATTAAAGATGTTCGTAGATGCTATATTTTTCTATTAACCCGTCAGATTCCATTTTCGTAATAAAGGACCTAAACGATGATTATTATTGGGGCTTAAGTGATGCCATTACAGTTTTCTTTCGGGCGCAACCGGGTCTTTGTGCCCGACTCGCAGTAATTTAATATTCAATTACGAATTCCATATTCCCGCCCGTGCTCGGTGTCAGAAGGCAGACGTCTTTTTGTTCTTCTGTTTCGAGATAAACGCAAACAAATGGGAACAATGGAACGTTTCGACTACGTAGAGACGCGTTTATGAACTTTACAGGCCGGGTTCTAATTAATAAAGCAGGAATTGTAGATAAAATGTCGCAGGATACATCGGTAAAAAGCGTTTCTGTGATGGTTGATGGTTGAAAAGTACTGCAAATTGGAGTGTTTGTCAAGCTAGAATGCTAAACACTGCTAAAGATTATCTGCTATAGAGGGTGGAAACGACAAGGGAGATGCCAAAACTGCAGTCGAAAACATAAAAAAGTTATTCCTTTGGTAAAAAAAGAGGTTTAAAATTGAGCAATCCCAGTAGGAATTCAAATGCACGAAAATCGTGTGAATGAACTATACTCCAATTTGACATTATTGAAAGATTCTAAGTCATTTTCACTTTCAAGGTTAACAAAAGCTGTCAAAATCAGCTGTAACTATTGATCAAAGATTTGCTTCTAAATCGATCAATACAGAATTTGTTATTGCTTCAAAAGTGGTTCTAATCGAATGATCCATTTTTTGATCGATTTTAAAACAAATCTTTGATCAATAGTTACAGCTGATTGTGGCAGCTATTGTTAATCTAGAAAGTGAAAAGGAAATAGAATCTTTCAATAATGTCAAATTGGTGTATAGCTAATTCACGTCATTTTCGTGAATTTGAATTCCTACTGGGATTGCTCAATTTTAAACCTCTTTATTTACCGAAGGAATAACTTTTTCCTGCCTTCGACTGCAGTTTCGGCATCTCCATTGTCGTTTCCATAAGGCAATTTCCCGGTGGGGCGTGAGTTCTAAGCCACTCTATATATTTCTCTAAAACTAGGTGTATATTAGGATGAGTATAGTAAAAAAATAAGTACCTTTTTCGCAGTACTCTCCCTCGTAATCGGGATTGCGACATTCGCAAATGGGTCCGCTGTCAGTCGATATGCAAATGCCCCCGTGTTGACAGGGATCCCTCGTTTCGCAGGCGTCGCTCGTGCTGTTGCCTCGCAATGTCTGCAAAAAAAAAACGGAAATAACTCGTGTGGATTTTCGATGGGATTCAATCGCGTTGGTGACTCTTTTTAATCGACGGTTTAAATTACGATTTCGGCGGACGCGCGACGGAAAAAAGTTCGCGGCAAGTTAGATTGGTTTTTCTTGTCCTCTTTAACCGCCAGGATTCCGTAAATTATCCTTAAGTAGAAATGGTTGCAGAAATTTTCGTTGGTACTGTCAGACTTATATCATTTATTTGATAAAAATCCATCAAATCTATTTATCAAAAGGAATCGATATAATTGTATTGGTATGGTAATATTTTGATTTTCGCGCGGATATAAAACAGAACTTTAAATTAGTATAATTAGGAAAAGCGTAGGAAAATTTCAACCATAATTTCTAAATATGAGTAACGCCGTCGTAACACTTCGGAACCGTTTTCTAACTTTATTTGCAATATTCTCGAGTTAATTAGCATATTTAGAACATTCCGGTCGTTACCTAAGCGATGCGATGGTCGTTTCCTTCGAAGGTTATCGCATTATTACCTTAACTTTATAATTAATGTTCCCTGCTTATTTTTCCCCGGTTCGTTGTCTTTTTAAAATAGCTTAAATATCACCATTTTTCGCGTAGCTTTTTAAAATCCTAGCGGTATCCAATTATTCGATTTATGAGCGAAATTTTTTGTGTTTTATAAAAGTTGCCTATGGAAACATTACCAGTGAGAACAAGAGAGATTCGCTACACAAGCTCCATTCAATGTGATACAGGATTTTTCCGGTTTTTTTTGCAGGAAAACCGGTTAGAAGTTTCCCCATTCGAAATTAGTTGCCAACATTAAATCGAATAAAAGTTGCACATATAGTACAGTGGAAAAAATAATGCTATGCATACTACTTAATTATGCACTATTAACAAAGGCTCATAAAATGTGCAAAGAGTGCCTGTAGAAGTGAAAATTTATTGAAATATCGATTAAGATTTAGATTTATTCCGCACAAAAAAAATACAAGACGTCTTTAGCGTGCTCTATAATAGAGGATTGCTTTCGGTTTTATCGTTGTGCAATCCAAATACTTCATTAGCATATTTATTGCTCATTTTTGCTCAACATTTGCATATCGTTGGAAAAAAACGGACGAAATTACCATCGCCCGGCTCAAAAAGAAACCCCAATCACACTTTTAAATTCACTCAAAAGATTAAAACTCCGCTTAAATATCACTAGATCAGATCCAATTCGTAATCGCTACATCGAGTAAAGTTAGCGATGATAGATACGCTAACGTTAACAACACAATTTAGCGAGTTCATTGTTACAAATACAATTCTAATAAATCTTTTCCGGGCGCCGAATCGGAAAACCTTCTCTTCTCGCGCAACGAACAAATCCATTCCGAAGTTGCGAGTTGTAATTTGGAAGCCCGCGTTCCGGCAAACGATCTTCGGAATTGCTCCTGCAGAGCTCTTTACACTACTAGGAACACCAACTTAACGCAATGCATTTAAAAAAAAAATAATAATAATTCACTCATTTATCCTCGAGATAAGGAAGGATTCCGGCTAGGATTTTCCATAAAACGGATATAAATCATCCGGGAAAGATTAGGAGAATCCAGGTCGGGACGGTTCAGTTACAGCAGCGAATCGAAATGGTATTTTATCCAATGGAAAATTTTCGAATAGCTAATCGCAAGATGGAAGGAAGCGGTTTTATTGAAACTCGAGCTGCAGAGGTGCCGCTAATACAAGGCGAATATAGCCTTGTAATCGAATTTGGAATTCCGAATCTGCAAGGTAATTCCTACTGGCGTGTTCCTTTGTAATTACCACGTCTTTCGGACCGGCGCCGCGACGCCATAACGCCGCCGTTTCCATTCTTCTCCTACCCAATTAACGTTAATTTCCTTCGATGCGCGTCAACTTGACAATCGCCGTAACCGTTACACACGTGCATCTCTATTAGCTGATCCAGCGTTGCCAAATGTCGCAGTTTTTCCGGCGTTTCGGGGAAATTCGCGTTAGCGACAACAACGCGATGGTATACAATGGGAGATCGGGCGTATTAATAGGTGCACGTCGGAGGCGGCATCGAAGCCCACCTTCGCGACGGGAGCGGAGAACAGTCGAGAGTCGAGAGACAGACCGATCGATATACTAGAAGAGCGCTGGGCGTGTCTGATTTTTCGCGGCGGCGGCGGCGGCGGCGGCGGCGGCGGCGGGGACGGCATCGCTGGACACAATTTACAAGTTACAACTCGTAGTGGTGAGTTGTAAACTCTATCGAAACGATTGCGGTGCTACGAAAAAAGTTTCCTTGTTTTTGTTAGGTTATGTTTAGTGGATTGGTACGCTTGTTATACTGTCATAATTGTCAATGAAATACCTCTGTATTAATATAATACATCGTTTAGTATGAATTAAAAGGGAACAAACGAGTTTTGTTTTGAAGCGAGCAACATAAAGCTCGTTCTAATCTGTCCCCGTTCTTTCAACCAGTAAAGCTGTAAGCTCCTTAAAGTCGCAGCAGCCGGTGCTTTTTTTCCTCGTCTCCTTTATACAGTAAATTTAATGCGGTGTTTCCTAAACCGTTCCTAAACGCTCATCCTTTTGTCCCCGAAATTACAAAAAAATACAACAAATAACGTCAGTTGTCCATACTCTATAATATTACGCTGTTATTAAGACTATAATTAGACTTCGGTTGGAGTATCGGGATTGAATATTTTATCGGAGAATGAAATGCGGTTTGGATATGACGACCAATTAACCGGTTATGCTGGAAATGGAATTGCAATACAATCCTTCTGAAATACGGCGGTTGGAATTCACTTCGGCACGCACGGACACGTCCAGGTTTCATTGTAACCAGTTGCGATTCATCATTCCGAGAAATTCCTGGTTTTGATTTGTGAAAAATAAGCTTTAATACTTTATTCAACTAATGTGGAAATTGGCGGGTAATTAACGGATAAATGGGGCGTTTTCCAGTGCGAAGCTTATCCAGAATGATAAACAGTAGAATAAATTAAATGTTGTGCATGATATGGAAGAGAATGTTGGTATTTAAAATGCAGAATAGAAATTTTTTGTATAGGGATCCTGCATTTTTTTTTTCAATAAGCATTTTGCGCGGCGAATTTAGTTGGAAATTAGTTCGTTAAATATGCAATACTCGACCAACAGCTTTGGAAACTATAAAATTGTTCCCGGCAAAATTAAAACCGGTTCAATTATTACATTAGACATGTTCTATAAACTGCATAAGGTAGACTGGGGCAAATCGATTGTAAAATTTGAATAGTTCAAATTGAATCCTAAAATGTGGCTTTATTTTTTCTCTTATTAGAAATGCTGATACCACATTAAATTCACAACTTCCCAAACTAAAAAATCGAGGTATTAAAAAGTTTTTTTGAAAAAGGAGGAAAACGATTTTACATATTTTTTAAAATGTTGACAATATGTTCTAAAGTTCTGTTCTAAAGTACAATACAATTATATAGAAAAACATATGGGGCAATTGTAAATACATATTTGGTTCCTCTAAAATTTGATATGCTGTTTATTCATTTATTTCAAAAAATAACAGAGCTACAAAATAATAAAGAAAAAATAAGAAACAAACCCTGTCTAATGCACCAAAAAACTATAAAAATAATAAAAACCATTAACATAATAGGTAAAAATACTACATTTACCCCATTTTTACATTTGCCCCAGTCTACCTTATTCGAATTCCCACATCCTTTTTGCTCGATTGATTCAAACATAATTATTATCCAACACATTCTAAAGAATTTCTCTATACATAATATACTCGAAATATTTTTTATATCACCATAACACGATAATTAAAGGTACTATATTTCCAATTAGAATTATCTGATGCGATATTTCTCGTGTTGTCCGTGTAAAAAAAGGCGCTGGATGGGATGTAAACTTGGGTCGTAAATTTTTGAAAAAGTCATTGCGGGGTTACAGAAAATTATCGTTCCCATTTCGTATTCTGGGCGCGTTATAAAGCGAAAGAAAGTCGACGGGTTGTAAAAGAACAACTTTCGAAATTTCAATGAATGCAAGTTAGTGGATTTCGAGCCTGCGGGTGAGAAAAGCGCAAATTTCACAATGTGATCTGTTTTTATCGTACCAGCAATGTGGAAATTGGAATGGAATAAGGCCGATTTAATTTTGAATAAAATAAAAAAAACGGGTGTTTATATTGAATATTTTTATGATTAACTGCAATATTTATTTATTACTTTATTCTACTCACTCGTGGATTTGCGTTGTTGATTTTATAATAGCTATACCAAGCATTAAATAAATCCGGTAGAAATTCGATTAAACATTTTGTGAAATTTACAAATCGGAAATTGATTGAATTAACCCGATAAAATAAATTATAACGATGCGTGAAAAACACGCATTTCATCAATAGAAAATTATCTTTTTATGGAAACGCAAACAAACAAAAACGACAATAGAAATCGAATTATCTTCGATGAGATTCAATTTCGATAATAGATACACCAAATAAAAGAATTGTCCCCGAAATATATTCAGTAATTTCCCAAAAAAAAAACACACCAATTTACCGGGAAGTTTAACCGAGTTTTTTTGCATTAAATTGGTTACTTATTTTGACTATATTTCATGATTGACATGGCGAGAAAACTTTTTTCCAGCATCTGAATTTTCGACTTTAATTTGCGAACGGCGCGACATTACGAATTTATCTTTGGAACATCAAATGCACACCAAAATATGGGTTTCGGGTCGTGCATGTTGCGGAAATACCGTCGGCTTGATAAGGGTTTTCCAGGGGGTAGTTTCGATTCGATGATATAATACACCTAGCGAATTTACTGTTTACACAGATAATGTGACACATTACATCCAGCCGGATTCGTTCTAAAATTGAAATAAACACATTTACCACGGCGATTTTACTCAAACATTAATTTTATTTTTTGATGCAACTTTCGTAGCGAACACACAAAAATATTTAAAACGCACAAACAATTATTTCGCCTACTAAAACAGCAATGAAAGCGTCGGAAGCTTTTTAGATTTTAAACCGAACGTTTCGCAATTAATTCAAAAAAACTAAGCCTTTTCAACTGAAAGAAGAATCATAAAGAACAGTAGAAAATAATCAGACTCCTGTCGTTCGAAAAACATTTAAAAAAATGCTCTCTAAAGCTTCACTAAATTCACCGTGAAAGCTCCTGAACAGACGTCGAAAATTGGAGGGATTTTCCTTTCAGTTCGCGAGGTCAGATTACTTCCAGAAACAAACATAATTGTATGTACTGAATACTATGCAATTAAAGCTCTGTTAATTTCGAAAAGTTTGGACCAGACAGTACAATCAAGCGAAAAAAAAGCTCTCCGAAGGCGAATCTACGAGAGAGCGAAGATGGTAAATAAACTCAAGCACAAACTGAAACTCACCCTGGACTGAGGCAGGCACACCCCCTGCACCCCTGCTACCAAGGGACCGTCGCACTGCAACAATAGGGTTCTATCAGCCCTTTTTTTTCCAATTTTATCGGTCCCATAGAAGTCGCCCTTAAAATTCCAGTGTATCTACCCTTAAACATTTCTTTAAGGTATAATTTTTATTATTTTTTTGGACGACATCTATCAGACTCGAGTTTGGTCGAATTTTAATTGTTTGTGTAACGTTTTAAATTTTGTGTGCTTTGGCATTATTGTGTAAAATAAAGTATAATAACAATTATCTGAAACATAAATATATTGTTATGTTATTTAGAATATTTAGAGCTTTGAAACATACCTTTACTTGTGCTTATTCTGCAGGTATTGTCAATGCAACGAGGATAATTTTTACTACGCTAATAAAGTGACTATGAGATATTTTAAAAGCTCTTCGGTAGATAGGAGCTATTTTCCTAAGAGTTTTGTCGCCCGGGAAACTTTTTGCTAACAGTATCAGGTGGTACAAGTTGAAAAATACTTCTTTTTGTACCGTTGAATTTTCGAAGTTGACAATTTAATGGAATTTATCTTTCTATTTTAAGATGAAGACGTGTTTCGCGAAAAATCACTTACAAAATGTCACGCGATAATTTGTTAGTAACAAATAAGAGTAGAGGAGAAACATTTTGTTAAATTTCAATACAAACTCTCGAATTATTACTTTCCGTAAAGTGGAAAATCGTTGCATCGAAAACAAAGTGTTTCTGATTTTTATCTTAATGGATCAATTTGTAACGGAAACGCCGAGGATTTTTCATGAAAGTTGCTTCCTCACTTCCGATACAGTCGATTTTCCCGAGAAAATTGTGTTTTCTCCCAACGTAACAAATATCTACAAATGCTTTATAACGGATACAATTTTATTGATATTTATCATTATAAATCCAAGTAAAATATAACAAATATTAATTTACTTTCGTGCAGATTTTAAACTAGCGAATACCATTGAAAATAATCGCGGAAAAAACGGAAAGGAAAAGGGCAACGTTGAAAAACCCTAATTATATCGTGTCAGTCATAGGACTGAGATACAGGGTAAGATTCAGCGTGGAAAAGTAACAGAAGTTAAGTCGAGCTTGAGGTTTGCACGATTATGAGCCGTTCGCGTGCCGACAGGCAAAAAAAAATCGAGAGCAGAAAAAAACAAATCAGTTATATATTTCATAAAAATGCCACTCCGCTCGTAAATCCACAGACGTAGAACTTTCAAGCTCGATTATAAGACCAGCAATTCGAGGTTTTTCACCGAAAACGTCGCAACGCCGAATGGAGATTTAATCATGCAGGCTCGCACAATTGCACTCGACGCGAATGGAAATTAACAACGGATTTACATCGTTAACGAATTTTATTATTAAAGCAGCGCTAATCCGAAGCGAGCAAATTTTAATAGAATAGCTGCCGTCGAGGTAGAAGGTACTCGGAAGTTCGGAAACTCCGTACTTATGTTAGCAGCGCCTCGAGCTCGTTATATCGTTTTCCTGCAACTCCTGCAACTCCTGCAACTCCTGCAGTTCCGTGTCCTCCTTCGGCCGACGGGCTCTAATGACTACTTATGTATGTAAACCGCTTAAAACGGCTTAACCTGTTTATTCCTGCAGATATTCCTGCACATGTTGTTTCGAATATTGTTGTAATTGTAGGACGAAAATTTCCATTATTGTAGCGTTTTCTGTTTAAATTTTCATGCTCGACATCAATATTCTAACAGTATTATTAGTGTATCCTTCGTGTCCTTAATAGAGAACTTTACAATCCTGTTTGGAAACTAATTGGATAACTTGTAATTATCGAATTAATTTTTAACATTGTTGTATAGAGGAAACATTTTTCATGTAGGTATCTCTATAATTCCGGTTTTAAAGAGGAGGAAGGTTCAAAGCGTATTATCCGGATCTTTTAATTTATACAATCCGTGTCGGCCCGAATTTATCCGAATGAAAAGCAGATTCGCCATTTTTAAAAATCTAATCGGACTTAATGGCCTTTAAAAACACATTTCGTGTGCACCTTTGAGAACATCAAATACGTTCGCCCTTTTTCGTTTATATACCCAACTCTTTGTTGTCGAATTCCATTACTTTAGATACACCTGCATATAAATTCCAATTGGAGAAGATTTTAGTTAATCCGATGGGTCCAAATTGTTTGGTTTGCATGTATATATGTATATCGGTTGCTTCAATTCAGACCGAAATATAGTCGTTTCTATCAGTGGAACAAAGAAAAATTAATTAAAATGACAGTTGTCAGAGTGGAAAGTTGCAATGATACAAATGTCACTCTTTCCTTTTCCTTTGTGTAAGTGTCTAATGGAAGTTGTCTTTATCAAAAATGGAGCAATCTGCATATAAACAGTAGGTGTAATATGAAAAAAAAATGGCTTACCCTGTGGTCCTTAGGCCTGGTTTCCTGCCTCCTCGGCGTGCCGCCCTCCACGTCGGGATAAATGAGATTCCTCACGGCGCCCACGAACCGCGGTTCGAAAATAACGCTAGGCAATGCTAACAAAGTCAATTTGGTGTTGTACCACAACGGCATGCCGCCGACGAAGACGTCCGAATTGGTCGAGAACCGCCCGAAGTTGAACTCCTTACCACGCGAGGTCCTCATCTGGGACACCCCGTCGACGGTGAGCACCGTGCGGTCCTCGTGCCTCTGCACGTGCACCTTGTGCCAATGGCCGTCGTTGAGGTCCCTGCCGACGGTGATGATCTGCGTGCCGCCGCCGAGGTTGTAGCGCAGCCGCAGCGCGCCCTCCACCAGCTTGGTCTCGAAGAAGTCGTAGGTGCCGCCGTCGTCGGTGTAGAGCAGCAGACCGTTGGGCTGGTCGGTCTTGAATTCGAACTCGAGGCTGCTGTTGGTGCCGCCGCCCCATTTCCTGAACTGCGAGTAGGACTCGGCGGAGCCGTCGAGGACGAAGGGACGGGCCAATGGGAGGCAGCAGATCGCCGCCAGCAGGTGATAGTACATGGTGGTTTGGGTACCGGATTATGTACGGCGAAATTTCGCTGTGGAATTTTTAATCAGCGCTTCGACCAGGATTAGAGAACACATTACGGTTTTTTTTTTTATTTTTTAGTTGAATATAAGTCGATATGTTGTTGTTGATGTGCAGGTAGCGTTGATGAAGCTGCAACAAAAACAAATCATTATTTGTCATCATTATAACTCCAATCAACTCTCTAACCAACGATTTATAGTTATCAACAAGAGTTTCGTTAATTTTCTTCTCAACAAATCCACCAGACCGCTCAGTCCACTTTATTATCATCCAACGAAATTAATTAAATTAATAGCAAAACAATTTTCCAATCAATCATCTAATTAAACGCTCGTATAAATCCACAAAACGTTCGATTTTAATTTTAATTCGATCGGCTCTAACCGAAACACATTTCGTTGCATCATTACGCGTCTAATCTACAATATCTGAATTGATGTTTCGATCGTTCGCGTTTGGATAACGTCGTTACTTGCATTTTTCGAACGAAGGAAATATGAAGCGTTCGACTATCGATACGAAAACCTAATAAGGTTTGGAAGGCAATACAGAACGAGGCGATGGGGCCTCCTTTTCAGCAGAAACTCTCGTCGGAATACGAAATTGCGAGTTAAATTCGAAAGGAAGCGACGAGTTATTTCTGTAATGGTAATAGAAAAGAAAATATGTCTCCGGCGTTCGATGCATATCTTTTATCAGTAGATCTTCAAAAATACTAATTTGTTTTTATTGGAAAATTTGTTGTTGGTGGAATTATCTGGAAGTACCCTTTTAGAAGGTAATTATTTAGCTTGTTAATTTGTTGTCTGTTTTGCTTGAAATTAACTTCTTCAAAGGGAAAATTTACTGCATGAAAATTTAAAACATATCGGTTGTATTTTATCTTCAAAAGCTCCTTCGATCAAAACTGGTCAATTTAAACATGAAGCATTAATTTTATCATTGCTTAAAACCTCATTATTATCTCTATAAGCGATTAGATAAGAGTTTATTTCCAATGGTTAGATTCATTACAATCCTGCTACAGTACTAGATTTGAATATTTTATTAACGCTTTAATACATCCACATAGTAAAGTAAATTTCCCTGGTGAAAGCATATACAAACTCATAGCTCCTGCCACGCATCCTCCTGCAAACTAAGGCACAAACAAACCGAGTTTCGATCGACTTCCACCAGCTCTAAACCACACCAAACGCTCAATCCTCCCAGCCAACTCACCTTTATCAGTACTATCGCGGAACCACCACCGATCGTACTCGTACAACACTGAAACAATAACGAAAAGCAAGCACACACAACACACGCATACACAGTGTGTTACGCGATCGACGAGCACGATTAAATGCGTCCTGCAGGAACGACTCCGGAGCGAATGTTCCTGCACTGCCGTTGCGCCGACGGCGGCGCCGAGACGCGCAGGACGCCCTGCGCACCGACGACGCCCGCGTCTCCGTCGCTCCGGTTTGGTTTGGTTGTTTTTCGAAAGGACGATCGTCCTGGCGGACGGTTGATGGAAGGATTTTTGGCGGGATCGGCGAACCGCAGGATGCCCCCCGATCGATAGCAAAAACCAAGATGATGTTGTTTATTGCAGGATGTTTGAATGCCTTGTTTCCTCAAGGCTTTTTGTGATACATTTTTTTTTAACATTCCGAATTGACCTTCTTAAATATTGTAAGAATTAGAAATATCTTACCCTTCAAGGAAAGAATAGATTCCCAGAGGATCGGAATAACTTATAGGTCGTATACATACGTTGGAGCGAAGAGATTAATTGCCTTGCGAACGGTTAATAAATTATTTATGGATATTTTACTGCCGTGATAATAAAAGTTCTACAACACCGAAACCTTTTTATCGATTTATATAGGCACCTTGAATTATTAGTATACACAAAACGACCTTAAGGGCATTGCGAACGTTTTCGCTGTAAATATATTTTTGCGTGGGTCGGTGAATTAATTAAAATTTAACAAATCCAAGTCGAAATTTTCGGGAAAATTGTTCTGAATAATGTAGAGGCGATATAGTAAATTTGAAGGATTTGGAATAAAAAAATAATCACTTTCTACAATGTTTTTCCATTAAAACTTTGTTCATAATAAATGTATTCGATTATCAATTCAGTTCGTGCATTTTAAATGTATGTACATTAATGTGATTCATTATTACTTACTGATTTTTTTAATCGAAAGTTCTAAAGCTAACTAAAGCTCTTTTAATTTCAATATGCAGTTCACTTGCAAACTTCTCGTGGTGATAGAACATTTTACAAACATACACTTTTTAATTGGTTTACTAATTTAAATCTCCAAATATTTTTTCATCTCCATCTTCTATCGTGTAGTAAGATTTGATTCCTTCATGCTTCCTGCAGGATTAATAATTCCTGAATTAGTAATGACTTATTTAGTTTGCTATTAGATTCTGTTGGTGATCGATATATTTTAAAAGGTGCTTTAAATGTATGTACATTAATTGTGCTTCATTATTACCTACTGATTTTTCTAATCCAAAGCTCTAAAGCCCTTTTAATTTCAATATGCAGTTCACTTGCAAACTTCTCGTGGTGATAGAACATTTTACAGACATACACTTTATCGAAAGGTTGGATATTTTTTATTGAACTAAAAATAGAAAACGGTCTAGAATTTTAAACGCGACATCGACGGATCGTCCGGCGTCGCGGCGCCTTTTAATATACCGCGAAAATAACGAAAAACCGATTCCACGTGACGGATATAATCCCTCAGTAATGGTTAACAAATATTTGTTCTAGCCGTTTAAGCTCAATTTCTGTGGATTCGCCATCACAATGATTAGCCCTATTTAACTTGATAATATTAACAATCGCAAGAGAATTCTATAATAAAAATCTCCTCATAAATAAGCGAGTGGATTAGGAGAATTCGTGGAATTAGAGTGTAAGCGCGCCATTTTTTTTTTCATCCTTCTTTCCAGTATTTCGGGGATGTTAAGGCAGGTCGAAGGGCGAATAAGCACACCTTGAGTAGGGTCAGGGGCGCTTCCGGTCGGTAATAGGGTAGCAGGAATACAGGTGAGTTATCGACCAGGCGGGGGCGAGCGTGTTATTCGAATTTCGGCCGAAAATCCCTTCAATAATTCGTTGAATTATACAGCCTATAGGGTTGAAAAATGCGGGGAAACATTACCTCGAAACATGCACTATCAATTTTCTTCTGCCGCATAGGCGATTCAATTGCTCGCGAATATGTCTTGTATGGAAAACGGGACGGTTTTTGCGATAGTGCGGTTGAATTTTTCTTTTATATACCCGGCGGCTTTTAAATTTTAGATCTGTCATTAGAGAGGGTAAGTACTTATTGGCAGGAAGGTGTTATTACTTTGAAGCCCGCTCGTTTTGGAGGAAGCTCAGGTGAAAATCCCACAACATAAATCTCGGAATAAGGTTGATTTACGGAGCTTGGAAGCGAACTCGAGTTCAAATCGTTAGTACGACTTGTGGAAAATGGTAGTTTTTATAATTTATTCCTATTAGGATAACTAGATAACTTGTATAAAATGTTTGCTAACTTTTTAAGTTTTCATATAATCCTTAGACAGGATAGATGGTTGTAGAAAACTTTACATATTTGCGGAGAATACCTTTGAAGTAATGCACGAAATGCACAATAAAATTTCGAATAATAATCCATTAACATTTATTGATCTTTACGGGTCGCTTAATTTCAAAGAGAACAATATTTTATAAGCATTTATGTTCGGGCAAAGGTATTTTTATTTCGGATCATTTGCGCTAACGTGCTTTATAGCAATCGTAAAAATATTTTTATATTGAAACGAAACCGATTCGTTTTTAACGATTTACACGAACATATCCCGAAAAAAAATCACAAAGGATTAATTTACCAGCTTTTCCCATGCTTAAAAGCTCATTTAATGCATCACAAATTAAAAGCATTCTTTAATTAACTCGTTTGTTAACGAGAAATGTTATTGTAACAATTCGCCTGTACTATCTGAACGAGACAATGAAGTCGAAGAGATAAAGCGATGTGTATTACATCGTTCTCCCCAAACCGCATAAACAGGATGACTTTATCTCACGACTTGCAGCAGGAACACGCTCAATGACTCATTAGTTCAGATGGATATGTTTCTAGGTTGAGCAATAGGCGCTTATGTGTTACATTCCGCTCCGTTAACTCACCCAAATATACATCAAACTAAATGTGTTAACACACAAAAAAAGCTTTTATTTTCGTAGTTCTTGTAAGGTGTAGTTTACTAATTTAAATCTATTTAAATATTTTTTCATCTCCATCTTTTATCGTGTAGTAAGATTTGATTCTTTCATGCTTCCTGCAGGATTAATAATTCCTGTATTACGAATGACTTATTTAGTTTGCTATTAGATTCCTGTTTGATCCTGTTGGTGATCGATAAATTTTAAACGGTGCTCTGTTGTAATAGATGGCGCAGTCAGCAGGATGGAATTGATTTGCTCCAAAATTGAAATTTACGCTTTATAGACTTATGGAACAACTCGATAAATTCTACCTACATTACAGTCGATAATAAAAAAATATTGCAATACAAAGTTTCTAATGGTGGATAAAATTTACGCAACAGAAATAAAATTTTAATCGGTCACGTCTTCATAAATTTCCGGATTTTCCGGTCGGATTAACGCTCAAAATGAGCTTAATGACACTTTCTGAATAATTGAGAGCTCTTGATGGAACATTTCAGGAATAGCTTAATCAACTCGGAGTGATGGATTTTTACTCAGAAATGCCGGAATTCTGCTTCCCGTGAACTTCTAAATAGAACGTTCATTAGAGTTTCCCAGAAACTTACTGTTGGATTTCCACGAGACATTTAAATGGAAAATTCAATTGTAAACAATTCCATGAAGGAGATTCCTGTTAATTGTTAGCGCTAATTTATATTTTCATTCATTACAACTACTGGTTGGATATAAATAAATTTATATCGAACTAAATTAATTTTCCCAATAACCGCTTAAATCCCCAATAATGTCTGTTGGCAAAACTCGCGTGGACATCTAAAAAAACATTAAAAGCATCCATTAAACCGCGCCTGGAAACACATATCTAATTTCTCTCGGTTGCACTCGAAAAAGCCCTTCATCAACTTTTAATGAATTCAATTTCCACATTGCGGCCCTTGGTCATGGATCAGACGAAGGCGAGGAAAAACGGAATTTACCCGAAACGTAATCTCGCTGCCGGTACTTAATAATCTAAACTTTCGCCGAACAATCGCCGACGGAGTGTTAATGGGAAAATGCCCCGTTGTCCGGAATCGTCGGGGAAAATCGCGAAAAATCAACGGCTTGTATTTTTTTTTTGCACATGCAGAACCGAAGAAAAAGCGCATCGTCGAGATTGGCGCATCAAAAGATTGTTAAGCACACTCGTCGCTCTGATAAAGTCTATTGAGAAAAATTCCTCGTCAGCGGAAACAGATAACATTGCTGAAAAATTAGTTTCATTCCACACCTAACAGTTTGTTGTATATATATACTATATATATATAAAAAAAATTTATCCCACATTTACAGCCCACTTAAATTTCATTACACCAATTCCTAAGTGTTGTTAAAACCAGTCCTACGATTGTTCGTATGAATGGGATATTTAGGGGTTGTTTTAACCGGGCTAAAGCGGGGCGTCGGACTTAGATCGACGGCGGCGACTCGGGGCGTTCCTGTAGCGCGTCGCGACGCCGTTCCTCTTTCAGTTCGTCTATTGGTGGACGCCCGAACGGCCGACGACGTCGTCGATATGTTCACGTTGTGCATGTCGCGTAGTCACCCTCCTTTGGCCGACGCGCAACATCAAAGCAGTAAGTGGTTTAAAACGTGCTTGATTTTAACACTACTTTTAAGCTTGAATGAACAATTTATTTAGTAATTTTTTAATGCTACTAGTTTATAATAATGTAATATTTACTATAATTCGATCAAATAATTTTTATAAACCAGATTATAAATATGTAGATATAGTCTAGACGTTTCTTATGTAGGAAATTAATTTTCCAAACGACTAGACTTTACCTTGTTTAATCCGCTGTAGAAAATTCATAATCCAATTGAACACGAACCACTTTGATGTTCATAATTTACAATCTCGAATATTTTGCAAAAAAAATTCATCAAGATTCAAACGTAATTAACTGAATAAGATAAACTTTAATACATTTGTGCAGAATCCATTAAAATCGCTCAATTTTTTTCTCCATTTTTTTCCAAAATCAATCATTTAGAATGATGAGGATTAACGAGTGTCCTTCCAACACACACATAGCAAAAAACCGTCTGTTTAAAGCTCCCTAATTGCTAGCAGGATTGATAGATCCTCACATAAATATTACTGGAATTTTAAAGATAATTTATACCAAACCAGTTCCTGTTGCAGTATACAAATACATCACAAAATGCCTCTTTAAATTAAGCTATTATTCAATTTCGCAGTCTTTATATGTAACGTTTGTTTAGTTCTCGTCGAGAATTCCTGCGAGATTTACGCCGTAGCGGTTGCGAATGAATATTAAGTTTCCCAATCATGTCATCAAATGATTTTATTGGTAAGAATGTAGTGAAATTCGTGTTCCTCGTACATGTTCCACGTCTCCAATAATAATACAACTACCCGCAGGAATTCTGCTCGTGCAATATCCATTCCCTTCAAAGTCCCTTTTCGTGTAATATATTTCTCGAGGCAATGTAATTACAGTTATAGGACTCGAGTTGAGTAGTTATGACAGAGGGTAATAATTCGGCATCTACGAGGGTTCGATTTTATAAGGGATGTAACATGCAATAATTAGTATAAGTTTAATTATTTTGGAAACGGGAAATTATTTTTTTATTAACCTAGTTTGCAGCGACTATGGTAGAGGCACCAGGTAAATAACCTTATCGGTTATGGCGCATGCGATTCGCTATGATAACATCCACATCACCTGCGACCTGAATTTTAGAATTGAAACAATATTTCACTCTAATGAAAATAAAAAAAAACAACAATCTCATCCCTAACAGATATCTCCTTCCTAATATATCGGTTTCAATTACACGTCTATAAATAAGAGCGTGTGGGAGACGAAATAATGGAAGAAATTGAAATAAATTGTGTGTTTATTGCTGTACATTTTTCCATTAAAACGCGTGAATAGTATTGAATGTTTTCATGAAAATAATCCTTGTGTATGTTTAAATAATTCGTTTCGTTGCAGGAATTGGTAACAAGCAAGTAAAGGGAGGCTATCTCCTGCGATATAGACGTAAGTATTACCATCCATATCGCTGTTAGCTCAGAAAATATCACATCTGGTATAATAATTACCGAGCCGCAAATTTATTTATTTGGAATTTTAGCTTCAAAACCCTTAAATGCGTCCATTTAGTTCGTTATGAACCGGCCGAGGACTCCCTTGTAATCTCGTTAAGTATCCCATTACGCTTTCTGATCGCGAAACGCCGCTCTTAATGGACGTCCGCGGAAAACACGTCCGTTCGCTGGTTCAAATTCGTTCAAATTCGATCAAAACGAAGGTCAACAAACCGAATTTTGACCCAGTCAAAGAGCATGATCGTTCAGCAAATGGCTCTGCTGCAACATTTTCCATTGCGATATTTTTTATTTAGCAATTCCCTGCTTAGAGAGTTTACGATTATTCGTGTTATGTTATCGATTTTATTAAATGTAAATGTTTAATCCGGTTATGTTTGAATGAATGAATATTAATGAAAAAACCGCACTTGATTGTATCCTACAGGCAATTTCCATAAAATTGTCCCTTCGGTTGGAGTTCCGGCGTCGAAATGAACTACAGATTGGGTTTCAGAACGAATTCCGACGTGCGAATTTCTCGCTAAATTTTTGCAAATTCCAGTTTGGAAATGTCTATAACTAGTTAAAGTCGATAAGAAGTGCATAGCAATAAAAATTCCGCGGGTATTTCGCGAGAATTTAAATAATTACCGCCGAACCAATCCTGCTTCCTGCCGAAGCAAACCTCTGAAAAGTTTCCGAAGCTCCTTTAGAAGCGCCAAGTTAAAATTTAAAAATCAATTTCAGAAGCTCCGGAGGTATTTGTTTTTCCCGAGTAAACCTAATAAAACTTCGACATTTCAAAGATGACTAGCGATCGATTATTCGGTTCCCCAGATCATTATTCGACTCAAATTTCGCCTTATCTTCCAGTCGAGTTAACTAGAAATTCGAATTAACTCTTAATGCATTTAGGTAATATTTGTACATGTGAGTTTGCAGTGCTAACTTTAAATTTAAAGAATAATACTAACTAACATTTGGGTGGTGATCCCGGAGTACGCGAGTCGAATTGAAAATGAAATAGCCGTGAAATTAGCGAACTAAGATGGAGTATACAGAAGGAAAGTTAATATGGTATCTCGAGGGAGTTGGGAAGTTTTTCGTTAGTTTTAAACTAATTATCCAACTTTTAGATGTATCTTTTCCCGACTGGTATCACTGATTGATCGCTGAGTAGCTAACAAATTGAATTTTCTAACTACAATTACTATCCGGTTATTAAAATGGTGGTTCTCCAATTCAATTTCAGGGTAATTTATTCGACTTTGCTGCGTAGAACGATTTTGTTTGTCTCGCCGAGATGTTGAGAGAAAATACCGAACCGACCTCAAAACGAATCGACGTCATTCCGTGTGCTCAATTGAGCGGTTTCTTTTAATGTATTTATTGCATGGCGCTCGGACATTTTTATTGTTAATTTTCTCCGAGAGGAATCCGCATGAAAGTTTCGTTTTATATACGATTGTTGTTTCGATACGTTTTGCGCCCCGAAAGGGAGAAATTTACCGAACTTTTCGCGATATTAAGCAACTTTTCATTAAATCGCTCGATGGACTTTGATAGAATTATCTGTGCAACAAAATCACTACTTATTACAAGCGATTAATTTCATTAACATCAGCACTTAACCTAAATGGAAGTCGAATTGTTATGTTCTGTATTAATACAGCTTTTATTGCAACCATAAAAATCCATTTGAAATTTTCATTGTAGGTGTTTATTAGATTAATCCTTAAATATGGTCGAAAACAGATAACAAACGTTTTCGAGATGACTACCAATCGCATTTAATCGAAAAGGAAAACCACAAAAGGCCCTCCGGCTATCAACCCTTGATATAAAATCGTCCTTTTCCTGTAAAATCAGCGAACGAGGATCCTCCGGGTTCCTTTTATCTCTTGTCCAGTCCTAAAAGGTCTTCTAATGGAACGAGCGAGATTGATACTGATTTTTTTTTGCGGATTTGGAAAATATTTCTCCGAAAAATACTTCCTTTCGCCAAATGAAATTCAATTTGTTGTACTATATAAAACTCGCAGTAATTAAAGTAATTAATTTAGTAGTGCAGATTGTTATGCAATGATCGATCGGCCGAGGGAAAATGTTTTTAGGTTATTCTCCCGCGATTCATATTACTGACACTTTATGGATTAAGCGAGATGTTTATTAGAGTTTCTGATTAATTAGCGTTTAAATTCGACGCGTAATAACGGAACATTCGAGACTGGTATATAACCGCAGGGGAAATCAACGAATCATTGAATCCGTCTATGCAAAGCAGCTACTCCACTGCCATTACCATATGCATTCTGCAATCGAATTGAGGTAATTGTTTTTTGCACATTTCCGCTGTAACCAATTCTTGAAACCCCTCTCGTATTTATTACCGTTTTCCTACATAAATTCCGATCGAGGGCAACAATCCCTCGGCGATTCGCTTTCGAAGATTTGCGGCTTCGGAAGATTCCTCCCCCGGGGAACCGGTCGAAAACTATCCCGAGCATGATGTTTTCCTTCGAGCCTAATCCAATTAGAGAACTATACAAAGATAATGCTATTTCAGGCGGGTTCTTCTGTCCGAAATGGTGCGAGGAATGGGTGGTGCTCTACGAGGATTCCACGCTGGCCTGGTACTCGGATAAAGGCCTCAATAGACCTAAAGGGTGTGTGCAAATCAGCGAGGCGCCTGAGTTACTGGCGGTCGGCGAGTGGACCAGACAGGTGCCTAGGAGACCGAAATTTCCACACGCCTGTCACATAGGTAAAATTCTTTTTATTCCTATTAACTTCAATGCAAACAATAGGTGTGTTTGTAGTAGAAATATGAGGCGATTTATTTATTTTTTTCTGCGTGATTGATTGATTGCATGTAGGTAAACATTGTCCAATTGTGAAACGATTTTATAAAATAGTGTTAAATGCAATTTTCCGGTAACTCGCTTTTTCCGATATTTTTCAATTCGCGCTTTAATTAGACTCCGACAAAAAAGCGATGCGATTGGTTCGTCGAACAAATTCGTTAGAATTGTCGATTTCTTGGCAATTTTCCTCTATAGATACCTAATTATATTTAATTGTAACGCTATTTCTCCAGGTCAACTGATTGCAATAGGAAATAGAAAAATGCACGACGTTCACTGGTTAATGGCGAAATCACCATCGGAAATTAAGTAAGTACAGAACTTTAAAATACTTTACAATTGATTTCGTATGTAAAAATTGTTATGCAGGATTCTCTGTTGAAATATTTATGGGGATCCAATATAGCTTATGCGCGTATTCGGAATATTCCCGATGGAATCTCTCGAATGCGGAAGTCGGAAACAGATATACTACCAATTTCTGTTATTCCGTTATCCTTAAACGATGCTGCAATATCTTCAGTTTTCTAATAAAAATCCTTCAGTTTTCCTATTTACGTGCGCGCTGTCGATTTATATATATACGGCAGAGGCGCATGGAAAATTGGAATACGCCGAAAATTTCACTTATTTACCCAAATTTTTTCCGCTCGAATTTCCGCGTTGATATTCCGAGTCTCGATTTTCCAGCTAACAATGCCCTTTCATTTCCAGCGATTGGATGACAGCCATCAGCAATACAGTGAGTTTATTTCCAATTTTCTTTCTTTAATAGAATGGTTATTTTTAGCACAATAACTTCGATGTGTAGTAAGAGATACTGTTTAATCAATTTTTTTGGTATTCACGCGCGTTCGCATGTTATACTTTCGGCTTTCTTTCGTTTGCTTTTCGCCAATTCTGGTTCGTGTAAAGCAATTTTGTCTGTTTGTTTATCAGCTGCCGCCTCCTCCACACCTGCCTTTGGACGATAAACGGTTATCTTTTCCGTTACAACAGAAACAAGATATTCCTGTATCCAATAAACGTAAGTAATTATAATCTACTTGAATTTTTAGTTACATATAACACCTTCTTCGAGTAGATTATTATGAGAGCAGGATCCTTATTTCTACGTGCCGGGGTATAAATTGGCAGTACATATAATGTAATTCCTTTGTTATCCGGGCTAACACTCTTTTTTCCTGTGTTCTCTTCTTCCCCGTTTCATCCAAGGCCGTTTTCGGAGTTCATTTCGAGTATCGTGGAGCTTTATCAACGCTTTCGTGTTGGAATAAGTGTCACTTAAGGGTTTTTCTGTCGATCAACTGGGCCCGCTTCCCTTACGGAGCAATATTAAAGGAGGATGAGAAAAAAATATTATTGCAAGCCTATTAATTCGCTTAATTGAAATCCGACACAAAAAAAATCGAAGGTTTACTTCGGATATCGTAATACATAGACCTTCGGATTTTCGGGTTGAAATATTGAAATGTGTACATTATATAGGATTACATAAGATTTTATTTTGTTTGGAGACAAAAATTCCGCCCGAACTTAATCCAATAATGGATCGACTTGGAAATAAACCAACTGGTATAAGTTAACCAATCGAATAGAATGTTTGTGGTATCAGAAACACTGGCATTTAAACACACGATTTCCCGCTGAATTTTCCTGCGAACGCGCCGGTTTTCCCGGCTGCGCCGCAGGGACGAGCAGTAATTAGATGTGCAGGAAGCTCGGTAGACGTCACGTAATATATGGAGTGAGCTTATGGGGCTCTTTTGAATGAACTTCCAGCGGTCGATGGTAAGTTTAAAGTCGCTAAATTTACCGAGGATTTAATTTCCAACAGCGCGATGTAGCTTCGTATTTGCGACTTAATTACGTGCGATTTTATGAAAAGATTCGGGAGTAATTAAAATGTGTTTTTCGAGGGGATTGTAATTAATAGAAATGCAGGAATGTGTTTAACAAGGTTTTGCAGGATTTTTACGATGGTATCCTGAGAAAGATTCCATTTTTCGATGTTTCTTTCTTTGAGATTTCAAAGAAACGAGCATATACATCTCTTCTATGAAAGGATACATTAACCGATGGAAAAAAAGAAAAATGTTGGGAATGAAAGGATAACTGACGGTTCTTGGAATAATTTCTGAATTATAAAAAAAATCTAGGGCACTTTGTATTTTGTATTAAAGAGTCATGGTGAGTTTAAGTATCTACAAGTAAAATATCCATCAAATTCTACTCTAAAATCACTTTATCAAATGCCACAATGTTAGGGAAATAATAAATGAGTTATTTTAAGTAAAACACTGTAAATTTGTAATAAAAAGAAAATTTTTACACAACTTTTAGCCGGCAAATTACGAAACGGTTGTTCCGAAACGAAGTCGACTATTTGCCGAACACAAAACTCATTCAATCTCTTTTCGTCCTCGCTGTTGGGAAATCGATTATGATTTCCTGTCGCTTCTGTTTGTAAATAACCTACTCGAAAACGAAACTCTCAAGTTCTATCACCTTTAAAACGCCTAATTTATCTTCTTTCGGTTACACCGGCTTTAATTTAACGCGCCTAGAGCTCCAGCTCTATGGCCGAGCTCGCTGCATAAGCTCGGTAAAGGGATACCTTCCGAGTCCTAATTGACACACGAACCCTCGAGCTATATTCCAAAATGTACTCATATAACGCTGAAAAGTTTCGCTCGGCCACTAACTTAAACTCCGAAGTAAAGACAAAGATTTATATCATCACTTAACGCCCTGAAAAAACTTCCCCAGTTTGCCGCCCATCGGGCGATTCCGTGATTCCCAGAACACGTGCGAAACAATATCCAACTAGCCGGAAAAGTTCCCGCTGGTAAGGCGATACTTTCAACTTTGAACTCCCTATTGATGGAATTCTCTCGTGCAAACATCGCTGGGAAACTGGATATATCGTGTTTTAGCACCAGAATGTGCAATCAAAGTTCAAAAGAATTTGTTGGTAATATTATTAGATACTACAAGGGAGTATGTTGTACATTTTCCTTTTAATTTTATTTGATATTCGATTTGGAATGATCTAAAAGAAGTTGATCTCTAACTTTTCAACAGTACTGTCAACTTTTTCAATATAGCGGGACAACAATGGAAACTTCGGGTGTACAATTCCGTTTCCCAATGAAAATAAAGCGATGACGACGAATCACAAAGCCAGTTAGCTGATAATTCCGCGAGGGAATGTCCATTAATCTTTCGCGTCGCGGCGTCGAAACTTTCCCGAAGCTCTGTCAGCGAGGTCGTCGCGGCGCTTCCACGCCTCCCCTACAAACGAAAAAGAAAACACGCACACGACATGCAAATGACCCAAGGTTTTCCATTTTACATTCAAATTCGATTTTTTGCCTCGCTATCGTAAATCTCTTCGCCATCAACAGCAGGTATCGTTATCAATTATGCCACCAGCAGCAACAACTCCTTCATACACAACAATCTAAAGAGATACTTTTAAAGGAAGTTTTTCATTGGTGGTATCTTCCAGAATGCTTGTGCAACGAGCCGGGGGCGATCAGAAACGGCGCCGCGAAGCCTCAGAAGGACTTCGACGCCGATCACACGGTGCTGGCCGGTGTCTGCATCGATTGGGGCCACGGTTGGGGCTGGGGCCGGAACGCCGTGCTGGCCCAACAGTCGTTCCTCTGCGGCCACGAGGCCTCCATCGGCCAAGCGGCCGATCTGGCGCCCGCCGTCGGCGCCGCCGTTTACTGTCATTCGGCCGAGGATTACACCGCCGCCGGCATCGACGAGGTCGATTGGTGCACCTTCGGGGATTTCAGCTTTTAGACGGTCCCAGGTTGGTACTGTTCTGTTACTATAGGCTCTATATTTCTAAGGTTTTGAAACATATATAGGTCGAAAAAGTGTGCCGTTAATTGAGGATGAAATAAGGTTTCTAAAACGGTCGCTAGGAGGCGATGTTGTGAAGAACCACAATTTTTTGCGTACGAATTATATAGAATTAGCATTAAGATAGGTTTTATTCAAACTAAAAATTCATACAAAATATACATACAAAATATCAGCGATGATTTTGTTGTAAACATCATGCCTCACGTATCTTCGGTTATTGTATTCCTCCATTTTCTCATCGAATTGTCAAATAATAATTTTTGACACTTTTGACAGCTCGAACTGTCGTTTCATACAACCGCGATTTATTTTGTAGCGCGACGCTGATTGGCTGAGATAAGTTGGTCCTCCGAGCGTTCGCCACCTTGCGGCGAAAAAGTGAAGCTCAAAAAGTCCTCAAATAACGGGACACATTCTCTAATGCAAATATAGGACAGTGCTCTGGAGCGAATTATCAGAGAAATAAAGAGCGCGTTTCTAAAAGTATTCGATTCAGGAAGAGGAGTTAAGAACGTGTGAAGAAATTTTTTCTGCGTTGAATTTATAGTTATGAAGACGACGATTTGAAATTAAATTTTAACGGAAGGATATAATAAGGGAAAATCGTATATTCCGGCTTTACGGCTTTCCGGCTCGACTTTTATTCGCTTGTTCGCCTGGCTAAATTATAATGAATGGCGTTCGTATAGCCTTATTTTAGTCAACGGAAAATCGGGTCGTAAAAATATATTGCAGAACACCGGCGAAGACGGTGAATGAGGCAAGAAAATATCGGTCGATATGCCGAGGATATTTTAATTGAAATATACGGAGTTGTTTTTTATTTGTTCCAGTCGAAAATGTGAAAATGTGTCCGCAAACAATCTTCCCAAAATTCCGGTTCGTCGAGTTAGTGATGGAACTTTGATAGTGCCAATGCATTTCGCGTTTTATACAAACACCCTGTTTATTGTTGTTTTAATATTACCTGACGAAAATATCTGAGATTGCTTGAAGGGAGTTTCCGATGTCGTTGTGTTGTCGTTGCATTTGCATTTAAAGGTTTATGTAGAATTCACGAACAAAACCTCGTTGTATTTTTATTGAAACTTGATCATTTTTTGAACTGAATATAGTTAATTTTCCATCCGAGTATCGTTAATAAAATTATCATATATATTTTTTTAAGGTACCTATTACTGAAAATTGCTTAAATATGAAATAAAAATAGTTGTAATTAAATAGCATTAGAGCTACTGCAGTAGACTGACTCGGAAATAAACACCCCATGTTTCGAAAAGATGAATATATTATTACAATTTCACAAATGTTTTCGTTAGAATGCAACATGAACCAAAAGCTTTTAATGAAAGATTTGTGAATTTCCATTAGACATTAACGTTGATAATGTATAAGTATAGTGAATGTTTCGATGTGTATTTTCCATTTTCACTGCCACAAAAATTACCTACATAGAAACTATACCTAACTTATATAAATAGAATAAAATTAACGATTAAGCATTTCAAGAATAATCAAGACAATTTCTACCATAGTTAATACACATAGGTACTACCAAAATAATGCAATTTGGAAACATTTATTTAAAAATTCGTTTACTAGAGTTGGGTAAAAGTACATTTAAATAAACTTAAGAAAATAAAAGGCACAAAGTAGTCGATTAAGTATTTACCTTTTACCTACTAACATACATAAGTATTTCTGTGTTAATATAGTAACTACAATAAAAATTATTGCCTCCAATCGATAAATACCCGTAGATCTCTGTTATTAATTCGACAGCTCAATATTTAGAAGACTGATTTAAGGAAGACGGACGCAAAAAGTGCGCTCTGATTAACTTTTTTCAGTCCGTCGATTTAATTTTTTTTACAAATTTTTCGTAAAATCGTTTTCGAAACGGCCTTCTCTAAGTCTCGTTTAAGGGTAGGTGATATCAACCTTAACCATTCTAAATTTTTGTTTTATTGTTCATTTTATTTCTCGTGTTATTTATGAAAAAATGTAAGTCAGAACTCCAACCTTCTTAGATTAGTTCGGTGTATTTTATTAGTAGCATAGTGAAATTAATACAAGTTTATTGAAAATTGTATTAATTTTACTTTACTATGTATAGACTTAATCATCATGTAAAATCATTGTGAATGGATAATACATTATGGATTTATTGCGAACTTGATATTTACTTTTATGTTAAATGTGAAATGTACAAATAAATGTGTAGAGATATTTATTTATATATTTTATGCAGATGTAGAAAAAAAAACGTAAAAAATTTAATATTTTTACCAAATTTTACTATTTTTATTCCATCAGCAATATCACTTAACACATTCACTGCCACATTACCCAAGCACATTATTTTATACGGGTTACTTTTATTCATTATACAGAAATTTAGTGGTAGTGATTGTGTTAATATTACACCTAAGTAGGTACACTTGACTTGTAGCTTTAATTAACAAAATAACATCTAATTAATAAGCTGTACATTTTTATATACGACTTCAGAAAAAACGCTTTTATTAAATTTTAAAAATGTAATATTTCTAGAGGACGGATTTGGATTCTTGATGTGATTTTTTTTTCTATTATAGGATTATTAATAGTAATAAAAATCAGTATTTTGTGAAAAAAATATTTATTTTAAAGCAAACCAACAACAATGTAAAATTTTACGTAAACGTAAATATTTTAAGTAAATTTGTACAAATTGCGTATTTATTTCATTTATTACAAAAAGTATATTCCGGCCTCTACTAATAAGTAAATATTTCAAAGATATAAGAATAACAATATAAATGAAAAATAGTTTCTAAGAAAATAGTACTTTAAAATTGCGATTAAATTTAATTCAGTTAGAAAAATCCACGTAACATATCAATCAATAGTAATATGCTATAGCTTTTATTTTTTTTAATAAATTAGCAGAAATTATTGTAATGATTTTCCCAAAAAAACCAAATATTTTCATTTGAAATTAATATAAAAACACCAATTACCAATGAAAAATATACTTGTAAGATTAAATGATATATTGTCAAGTAGGTGCTATTAAAATTAAATGAATGTGTAAATGTAACAAGATATAATATTCGCGAATAGAAAATAAACCTTTTATTCCGAGAATCGTCCAATATTTACCTAGTAGAATAAACCAAAATAAATGTCTTAGGCCCTATCGATGTCTAAATGTGAAAGTAGACTTATAATATATTTGAAAATGTATAGACTGCAATGTATTAAAAAAAATTTACAAATGTATATGTATCCACACAATAAAATATACATAATTAGTTTTCGTTGCTATTATTTTCCAATAGCAGGGATTTTTTCTATGAATAAACTACACACTACTTTAATTGACTGATAAATGTAATAAAAAAATCATCGTTTAACTAAAATTGCAAGTAGATGATTTTCCTATATCACTCCAAACGTTTTTCGTGTAGGTTGCATACCTGCCGCAATCCAAATGAGAATTATCCACACAAATTCTCCTAAATATCATCGACTCTTTTAAAGACCCTTTCAATACTCCATCAAACCTACATCCCAAAATAACCGAAACTTGTTTATTAGCCGATAATTTTTCGATAATACTCCCGCTGTAAGGCAACAAATTAAGCACGCCTTTAGGTAGCAATTGCTTCAAACGTTCGAAAACTTTTCTGCGAGTATCGTCCGCTTCGAGGAGAATTAACGCGTTTCCCTCGTATAACGTCGTTAAAATGGATTCAGCGCACCATTTTGCATTGTTGCATACAACAACAATCCCTCTAGGTTCTCTACTGGATGTTAACTGATACCCCGAGATTGTTGTTGAACGTGGTTTGTCTATCGTTGCGCGAGAAAAGGCCCGAACGAAAGCATCTAATTCCGACCAGTCGGTGTTCAACTCCACAAATTCTAAAAGGATTTTTTGTTTTTGAATCCTCGGTACTTTCTCCCAACTTTCTTGGGCTGCTTTAGCTGCGCTCACGATACTATTGATGCTTGGAATTGTAGTTGGATTTTCAACAAGCGCCTCCGGTTTAACTAAATCGCTAAATTTGTATTCGTTAAAACCATCGGTTCCTCCGAAATTCCCCATACCGCTATCTTTAATCGGCGAAATAACTACATCGGGAGCAAGCGGAACGTTATTCGTGTTGACCAATACGTTACTGACCTGTAAAATAATAAATTAATTAGTAAATTCTTCGATTTTATGCGCGAATGTCCAATGTGCATTGGTGTTTGTTTTGCACCGACTGTGTTGGGAGTTATTTCGTTATTGTACCTTCAATTTTTTGGTGACTTCGTTAACAAGTCCGATGTTTTCGGACCAAACGGACGCCCACAAACCTTGCTTGGTATTATTAGCCAAAGCGACGGCTTCATCGATCGATCTAAAGGCCAAAACAGTCACAGCTCTAGCTTTGAAAACATCGTAATCGGTTTTAAAAACGTTATTAGTTTTAACTTTTCCGCCTTTAAACACAGTGGGGCACCATTCTTCTTCGTTCTTCGAACGAAACACCTCGATGCCTTGTTGTTGCGCCTCCTTAACCAATTTATCGAGTGAATTCAATCTATTCTTTAGAGTAATGTCGGAGGATTTGTCGAGGGCGTTGGAGACTTTCAAACCGGCAAGTTTGGATTTTAATTTGTTGTAAAATGTTTCGAGAACGTTTTCTTGCACTAAAATCGTGTCGGTACTCCAAGGTAGCTAAAAGCTTGTATTAGGTTTTTTGTGAAAAAAACGATTTGTATTTTAATTACCCAACCTCGATATCCCCAAGAAGATTCGATGACGCTTTCGCATGCAGAATCCAAATCGGCCGAGTCGAAAATAATTGTAGGCGTTTTGTATTTTGATACTAAAAAAATTTAAAGTTATTTGCAGTTAATTATATTATTGGTTCATTCGACTTACAAATGAGAATATTTTTATGCAATCCATTCACTTCTCCGTATATCCCGTTATTTGCCTCTTCGAATATGCTAATAATCTTCACTTTTTCGCTATTTAAATACGGTTGCAGATTCCCTCCGTAAGATGGAATTATTTTAAAAGCATTCTCGGGTACTCTAAATAATTATTACTATAAGCAAATTGGTTATACGTGAATGATAATCTTTTACCCGGCTGATTTTGCGATATCTTTCAATAGAAATGCAATTGGTGCTAAATCTGGTAATATCTGAAGGACAATACTGTAGCCTCGAGCGAGAGCAGGAGCAATGAATAGACCCAAATAAGGCAAATAAGTACTATCGGGTACAACTCCCACGGCAATTCCACCTTAAAATAATGTACAAATAAATACTAAATAGGTACTGTATAAATGTAAAGTCGAAGTTACCTTCTCCCGATTGATCAGCGAAAGCAGAATAATATCTGAAGTAATTAGAGAGTAAAGGAATGGTATTTTTTGAGTCCTTCGCTAAAATTTCTCTAAATAATAGCTCTAATTGCACAATTAAATTAGCGTTTTTTTCAATTGCCTTGCTGATCCTAAAATATTAAATTAGAAAAACCTTTATGATACAAGTATTTTCGAAACAAACCTATTCAATATTAGCATTTTTGATAGGGATTTTTGTTGTATCCAACATTCTACATCGGTTGTTTCAATTATCTTCGTTATATCATCAATATTAGATTCATAAACAGTACAAAGAGGGTCATAATTAAAACGCTTCAGTTTATAGAGGTCTCTATCTGGTGGGGGCTCATTGGGGTTTTCAATAGAAGTGAAAAATTTATTGCCCTTGCTTGTTATCCATTCCTAGAAATGTTTAAAATGATTTTAAAGCAAGTTAAACACTTACTATGAGTTTCGAAACTTACCAAAGCTTCCTCCACACTCTCTTCACTTTCTCCATAATCCATGTTATCAAAAATTTCGGGAATTTTTGAGCGAGCTGCCATTATAATGAATTCTTTTCTCTATAATGAAGTATTTCATTTATAGTTTATCAGTGGATATCTCTTTTTTATCAAATTTACAAGTTTGTTTTGATAACCTTGTTTCTTGTTTGCTAACCACTCTAACCACATTTATTTGACGTTTAAAGTTTAAAAAAACCGGTCTACAACTAGTAAGTAATTCATCCAATAGTTGAAAAATAATGACAATGACATTTTTGACATAAAAAAACATCAAATTGACACTAGTGACAGTGACATTAATGTCAAATTTTCTAAAACAAATATAAATATTCTAATTAATCATTTTTACAAAAAATGTTATTGTTGTAAATTTCACTTTGACAAAGAAAGTAATGACCTATTTGCACGTGTATGTTGCGCATTAGAATACATTTTCACACTCTGTAATTTATATGTAGGTTAATTTCATACAAATTTACTATCAAAAGACTCCTCTAACAATGGATATTTCGGAGCCTAATACAAATTCCGAACAATTATTAGGTATACGCGATAGAGAAGAACTAAGAACTGGTGCAGAAGTAGATGTATCTCAAAATGAAGGTAGAGTATAATAAAAATATCCTTTAAAAATATTGATTATAATAATAAATATTTTAGGACAGAACATAAACCTGACTGAGCCGAACCAAATTATAATGGGAGCCTCTAATTCGAGCACTAACAGCACCCCAATAGCCAGCAGGGAACCTCTAACGAGACCACATATAATAGCAGTTACATCTCGACAAAGTACTAAAGACATATTCAAACACTTGTTACTAATTAAATACTAATTTGGATAGTTCACAATTCACCAAACCATTCGTTTTAGGGCGTACTGATGATGCGAATTTCAACCGTCGGTTGGTCGATCTCCGTTACGAGCTGATGAAACGAAAAGTGGACTTCCTCAGGCTCAAACAGAAAATGTTCCTGAAGGCTTTCCATTTGAGAATGAGACTCATGCGCACCCAATTAACGTTAGAAGAGAAAAAATTGTCTACTTTCAGAAAAAAATACCGACGTTAGCTTCTCTATATTATTAAATAATAGTGCATGTATGTAATAAGTTAGGTAGGATATATTGTGAAGTTTTTTTTTCTAATAAATTAAGTATCTATACATTTATTTAAATAAAGGAAATGTTGGCTGTATTAAAGTAGTGATTGAGGCCGATAAAGTGCAGTTGCACAAATCTAGTGGATTCGACATTGAAAGGTTGGCAGCGCTACGTTGATAAAGCTAGTTGACATATCGACGGGTAGGGGGCGCGCGAGTGCCGCGACATTTTACATGGTTATTGACTAACTGGTGTTGTGCCGTTGTAAATATTGTTTTTTCGGTGTGCCGAAAACTTTTCGCGGATTCAAGTGCATGGTGCGAGTGCCGGATAGTGCGTGCTGTCCCGTACGATGTCCCGAATGCCGGCGGGTTGATGGAAACCGAGGCGGACGCCGTGAAAAATCCACCATAGGTCGCGTAGCCTGCGGTAAATGTTTGCTATGTCGGCGGTGGGCCACCCTAAAGGCGGCTGTTATGTCTGAGAGCCATGGATGTCGAAGTGAAACAGAGAAATAGGCGAAGGAAACGCGCCCAGCGTATGCAGGCACAACGCGAGTTCAACAAAGCTGACCATCTCGATGGAGACAGCGGCGACGAGGATGTCGTTCAGGCGAAGCCCCCGAGACCCCCTAACAGACGGAAGAAGTCCAAGGAGCCCCTTTGCGAGGAGGACATTATCGAAGGGTTTTCTATACTCCAATTTCGCTCCTACGAAGACTTGGAGGTAAGTTTATTATTGCTAATTTTATTTAAACGTATCTATATATGTGTTGAAACTATTTTAACAAGTTGGAATTGTTCGAATGTTAGTACGTTCTACGCGTTAAAATGGTTTGAATTAACACAATTTCTATATTAAGTACACTTTCTTTGTTATTGATATTACACAATAGGTACAATTTTCTTCATATCTCTTTTACTTTCTTAAAAATCACTTTTTATAGCCAATATGCGAGGCACAGGAAAGCTGTCAGGTAGGGAAAATAAGTATTATTAATAATTCAATTCGAAGAATTGTAAGGGAAACTTTATTCTTTAATTCCCTATATAAAAATTTATTTTAAACAACACACTTCCCGAGCTATCTAATTTACATTAAAATCCAAAAATTTACACTCCCAAACTTTGAGAAGCAATCTAATTTAATTAATATGTCGAAGGAAATAAATTAGCTCGTTTTTAATTAGTTAAAATGGAAAAAACTTACATATTAAGTAAACTTTCTTTGTTATTGATATTACACAATAGGTACATTTTCTTCATATCTCTTTTACTTTCTTAAAAATCACTTTTTATAGCCAATATGCGAGGCACAGGAAAGCTGTCAGATGGGGAAAATAAGTATTATTAATAATTCAATTCGAAGAATTGTAAGGAAAACTTTAAATTAAAAACATAAATATTAAGTACACTTTCTTTGTTACTATAATTAATTAACATGTATAATTTCCATTTATCTCTCTATTAACTTCCAAATATTATATTTTGTCCAATAAATCTCTACAGCAAGGTTGACAAGTGGGGTAATTAAATATTCCTAGCGATTTAGTCGAAAAAGATTTAGAGATTGTAATGGAAACTCTAATCTGCAATATACTTTAAGCATTACAAGCCGGAGGAGTTAAAATATTAGCTCGTTGTGAACTCGGCAAAAGTTAACATAACTCGAATATTAACTAACTATTTATTCTCTTTGTTATTGATGTTGCACAATAGTTTTTCTATTCGTGTCTCCGTCGCTTTCTGGAATTCGGTTTTTCTGTCCGCCGTACCTGCACAGTCGAGTAAATAGCCTTTTAAATACCTAAATAAGCGAATCCCGTCGTTCGTTAAGTAACTATTTCGTTAAAATAGGAGTCTGTTGGAGATACGAAGCACGAATAAAATGGCTAATAGCCGGCTTACATGCGACAGCTACTTATTTAATTCGATTCCCGATCGACGATTATTTTAATTCGGCTAATTACTGCTTAATTTATCGATTGTTTGATGTTTAATTCGAGTAAATCACGTTGTTTCGATGACCAGTATGTAAAACTTTTTTATGATATTAAAGTCCTATTAAAATATTCAATAATTACATACTTAAAGCTACTATAAAAATAGCATTTAATTGTAATACAACGTTCATGTTTTCAATTAAATTTAAAAGGCATTATGTCGGGTTAAAAAAATTAAAAATACGCTTAACAGTTGATGCAACGAAACAACTTAATAAATTGCATTTGAAAGAGTAGAGCGTTAATTTAACAACGTTGAATATCGAATAAAAAGTTGAATGTATTTCAGTTGATTTACATACTTCAATTAATTACGTTTGTTTTTAAAAAAGTCACGTTTGCGATTCGTATAAATATAAAAGCGCATTTTTTTTTTATGGAAATTATTTTATTTCGCCGTCTCCCATTTCGTAAAAATCGACTCGAAATTACGTGCTTACGATTTTAGAATCGAATTGCACGTACAGTTTTGCCATAAACCACTCGAAATGTGTCGTCATGTCGTTTTAACGAACAATAGAAAGATTGATTTTTATCTGTGATACAGATTCAGTTTGTTCTAAATTTAATATACTTCATTAATTTGATTTACTAACTAGTTTTGTACTAATTGAATATTAATAATTAATCCTAAACAAGGTTTTCTCTATAGAGGTCTTTTCATTGATGAGTTATGAAGACGACTGTAAAGTTTTATGAAATGTTTGCTGTTCCTATCCTGATCCTATTTTCTTGAAATACTATTCCACAAACTGAGGAGAGAAGTGTGCTTATACTTGGATTTCATCCAGAAATATTTTTCCCATCTTTTAAAGATAATTCAAGACGCCGGTTGTAATATGTAAAAAGTACTCAAGGAGAAAAACCTTCCATTCAGGGTAATTTTCTTTTTAATCCTTTTAGTAAAGCTCGAGTTTTGATTCCACTATCTGTTAATTTCTTCCATTGATAGCGCCCTATAAAAAAATATAAAAGATTCTAATGAGTACATTGTCTTTTAAAATCGACTCTGTATTTTGTATCGATTGGCGATACGACTTCTATTAGCAGGGAACTTTCGCCGCGTTTCCGAAAAGGAACGGAACTAATTTAAAAAGTTTTCACTCCGTTATTCGAGAGAACTTCTCTCTCTCGCACTATAACAAACGATCCACTAAGATATTTGTGAGTCCCGTCCGTCCAAACAAACCCGAACTTGCTTTATTTATGTTGTCAGGATCTCTTTCTTCGAGGGTGTTTTATCATAACACTTTATTACTCGCGAGTTAAAAGGTTTAAAGTGTCGTCGATGGATATACAAGTAGGGTATACAGGGTAGATTCGAACATATGTTGGTATTATAGAATAAAATAAAAATGCATTAATTTTGCGACATCTTTAGATTTTAATAAGAAATAACAATCTCTGTACGAGTATATAAGGAGTTTTAACGTTTTTTTTTTGTAACATTTCCTTTTCGAATAGAATAGATGGAGTACCAAATAAGTAAGTATAAATCTTCAACGATGTAAAGAGCGTATATAAAACATAGTATTAACAAAGCTCGTGTCGTTTGTATAAGGATGAATAAAAAAAAATAAACTCCACCATATTCAACGTTAACAACATATTTACAACGCAGAAAGATAGATTCGCGTAAACGTAAAACGTATATAAGTTCCGACGAAATGTGTGTATTTTCGAGTAAACAGTCGCATTATAAATCAAAACGCGAAATGCTTTTCCCAGTTTCGCACGAGATTCAACGCCCGGAATTCCATTATTTCCTCGCGAGAGAGAATAAAAATATTGAAATGTCGCTTTTTGTTTAGGGCATCCCTTCTTCCGCTCAAACCCTCGCTCCAGTTCTTTTGCTGTCGATGTTCTGCGCATTTATAAGTCAAATATGACTCGACTTTGATTCCCATTTTTAAATTGGTCCAATAAAACCAGTGAAATCATAAGCTCGATGGAACGATTTGTTTGCTGTATGCTGTATCCGACAGAAGGGGTGATATAGTTGATTTAACAGATTCCGGGTATCTGATCTGGGCGCATTAAATCGAATCGGTCTTCTCTTGAAATTAATCGATGGATAATTTGTGTAAATAGTTTTGTCGTTTCTCAGGCTTTAAAAAGGACTTTTGTGCAATAAAAAAGAGAACAATACGATCGTTACGGGTGTAACAATCTCTCCGGGGTGTTTTTTTTTTTAATTCTAAACTCGTTCTGCTCCTTATCGAGCCGAAGCGATTTCTTTTTATTCTAGTATGTATAAAAGACCACCGCGTAGGTAATAGTACGACCTTACGTGTTTGTACTTACATAATATCCATCGAATTGCCTCTAGAAAGCTGGTTTTATACTCGGTTTTATATTGGAAAATAGCAGATGTCGCCATTGTCTAAATACTTGTCTTTTTTATATTGCCAATTTAATGGTGTAGGTATTTATATCTGTTGTAATTTGGAAATTAAAAAAAATATAATCATATTTTTATTTCTATTTACAGTTAATAATCGGATTAATTCGGTTATTAACAGTTACAACGAACTGTTTTATCTGGTTAAATTGTGTAATTGCGAGACTGTGACGACCTTGAATCCGTAATGATTAATCAATTTTGAAACGTTATCGTAGGTCGGGATTGTAAATATCACCTGAACGGATGGGAATAAATTAATTAAATTTATTCGAAACCGATTCTTTAGAGCGTTTCAAAAAAAACTTTCGATTCGTACAATAAAGAAGCAATCGAATCGAATTTGCGGTACTTTACCTAAATTCCGACCCTCCGAATCGTCGACATTTGATATTATGCGAAAGGGCTTTTGTGTTGTACCTTTCGTAAGTAATTCCGAGGGTCAAAGTGTTCATTTTCCGTACTGAATAATTTCCTAGCTTCACCTCAAATCTTCGTATATTTATTACCTGCTGTCGACACAGTATAATAAAAACTATTTTAATTCATTTAACACATTGTGATTCATACACCCTGCGTATTCTCTTAATCTACATGAAACATTATACTACAATGACTATAATTAATAACGATTATAATAATTAATTAGAAAAAAAATACCTGCAGTATTCTAATAATTAAGTAATTAGCATCATCAATTCACGCTAGGAATATATAGGAAATAACCGTTTACGCGGAGTGGTCCTTCGTGACGTGTTAATTAAAAAACAAATTACCGACTAAATTGCCGAATGGTGCTCGAGCTACAGTCATTTACTAATATTCTCTAACATCCAAACACGAACCAACTAATTGTATTTTTATGTTTGCTTAGTAAATAATCGTGATTATGATTGATGAAATACTCTTAACATTATTGCGTTTCGATCTCCAGTAAACCATACGATATGAAAGAGCATATAATTGCATTGATAACGCTTACAATCCTGCGATGTTTGTTCGAAAATAGTTTTTGTAAATATCGCTGTACGATCCGGATGGATTCCAGCTGAGAGTGAACTGCCTTTAACTGACCTTGGTACTTAGCTCCGCGACAGCGGCCGCAGAAGTACCAGAAGCTCGACGAGAACCGAATGAAAATAAAAAAGAGGAACTACACCTTTCTACCTGGCGTGCTTTCACTAGATTTTTACGGCGTTACTTGTATTTTTTTCACACGTTAACCCCGAGTGCGCTGACCTAAAAAAGGGAGCATCAGCTGGCCCAAAAGTCCCACTCTAATTATTACATTTGCGAATAAATGAAGATGTTTTGTTCTCTTGTCTTATTACAAACGCAAATTATGTGCAATAATTTGGCTCTAATACATGAGTAGATTACTGACGTGATATAGTGGTTTAGGTTGATCCTTGGTAGGGTCGTATAATGTTGAATTTTGTGGCGATAAATTCGCAATTTAATTGCATATATTATTTTTGTTGCAGTTGGTGTTGAAGATAGCCGTTAAAGAAAATATCAAACGATTGACTGACGTCGAAAGGCCTAAGATCGAACCGAAGGCTCATATTACTAACCATATTTTAGTTCAACACAACCACGTGAGTACAAATTTTATTTTATTATTTTCGAAACGAAGATAAATGTAATAAAATAACAGCGTTTATATGTATCTGTAGGTAGAGTGCATTAGTTCGTGTTTATATGCATTAATCAATCGGTTTTCCAATAGCAATAAAAACCGAATAACTTGTTATGTTACAACCCAACCCATAAACCGGGTAATAGACAATTTTAGTTTTAGATTTATCTTCGATTCCAATCGGGCTTAATTAATTTATCCTCGCATTGCGGTTGATGTAATAATTAATTTTATAATTTCTTTCGGTTAATTTATGCGAGTACTTGCTAATCAAATTATCTTATTAGGTATTATATTCAATATACTGTTGGTTATAAAAGGCATTTATAATGTATTACAACATCTCAATAATAACCCCAATAATGTTTGACACGCAAACGTCGGAACACGTAAAAGTAAATATTGAATTAATAATATTCCCGAAATTAAACCGAGCGTTCTAATAACGCCGAAAATGAGGAAATAATTCCAATGACGAACAGTCAACCGCAAAAGTTAATTAATTTAACATAGTATAGGGTTTTTTTGGGGTAGTTTTACAAACTTGTTTACGTAATTATATACCTACGAATTTGGGTATTGTTTTATTGAAATGTGGCTTATTTAGTTATCGATTTCGAATATTATACTCATTTTTATGGGGCTTATAAAAAATTCGGGTCACAAAAATGGCCGTATAAATGTGCGAATGTGTTTCCTACTTCAGATAGAAATAAGGAACACCGCTATAAAAAATTTTACGCTCTTCATAAAAACTAATATCGTTAACACTAAAAAATAAAAAAATATATAACATTAAAATATTTCTACGATTTTCCCTTTTATTAGGCAAAATGTATTTTGCATTTCTCTCGGTTGCATCTTGCTGTACATATGCAACACATTTATCGCTGATTTTAAAGTCTTATGATGCACCTACATATCTACAATACGCAATAAAATGCTCTAAATAAACATATTTAATTAGAGCCGATCGAAACATCTGTTTTACCAAACGGCATCAAAACATTACGAGATTCGGTTTCTCGAATTAAGTCCCCTATATATCGAACGATTACTCATTACATTTTCCAACGGAACAAATCGCCGGATAAAAATCTCTATAATCTTCAATCCCATCTAGAATAAGTGAGTAACGAAGTTCCCCTCGGCGCTCGTCTAATAAACACCACGATATCTGCATTATTTATCACGCTACGATCTGTATATTGGGGAGAGAAAAACTGAACTCACATCTGGACGTGAACGAGGCGCTTTTGTCGAGATTATATCGTTATTAACAATAGGATTTAATCGTTTTGTTCTTTCGTTTAATTGAAACTTAATGTTTCGTGTAAAAAGATATGAATTATTTATTAGAGGTGTGCGTCTTGAGATGGGCATTGATTGATTGATTTTTAAGGTGTAATGTAATTTGGAACAATCCAAAAGGAGTTATTAAATTATTTCTATAGTGAAGGTGTAAAACTTGTAATATACAGTTTACATCTCTTTGATAAATCCATAATACTAGTACAAATCTCGCAGTAATACGACGGGAAATCTGTAGGAAGGAGAGATGGAGAGGACGAGATAATAATTCTATTTATTTATTTATTTATTTTTTTTCTCTTTCAGGGGTTGACGTTAACCCAAGACCCTGCCACCAGCGATGACAGTGGAAGGGCTTCTGAACGTCTGACTGGATCGTCTGTCGCTCCCCGAGATGCCGATAGTTCGAGAGATCGATTGAGCGATGTATGTATATTTTTTTTTATCTTAAATTTGCTATAAAATTTACCTTTATTTTATGCAATATATCACTGTTTGAAATTCGCTCGAAAGCGAGTTTATAACCTTCAATCGAAGGGTTAATAAATTTCTATTTGCTTAGGTTATTTATTTTTTCTTACAGGCCAGCAGTAGGTGTAGTTCAGGAAAAGGATATATCGTAAGTACAAATTTTTCTTGGTTAATTTCAAATATGAAACGGCGACTCGAGCATCAAAGGAAACGCGAGAATTACCTTAAGTGAAAAACCATCATAAAAAATTAAGAAAACAACCGGCGCTTTCTTAACGAATTAATTAAAAATCAAAAACCGCGTGCCGGCGCTCGGCATTTTACACAAGAAAGAAGAAAAAAAATCGCTCCCTCTCTCGCGAAAGTTGCTCGGAAATGTACTTTCTTCCCTTATATATACGCCCGACGCTCGCCCGCATAACTTATATTAAAATTAAATAACGAGATAAAGCCCGGGCTGTTCACCCCTTTTTCGCTCGCCCGACGGGGGCGCTAATCTCGCTCGAGATTCATTATTCGCGGTGGAAGTCAATTAGGGTCGAGTCGGAAAACCGTAGGAGAAGAACCGAAGAACAATTGGATGACTGGGAGTTCTCGGGAGTTGCGGAATCGGCTCTTTTTTTTTTCTTCTAGCGCCTGGTAAAAGCGTCGGGAGATTGATAGCGGGAGAAAAAATACACGTTAAAGTTCGAGAGGGTTGCCGGGAATTAATGTTTTCAAAAAGCTTGTTGTTTTTTTTTAAACGTAACGCGAAAATATATATTCCGCGATCGATAAGCTGGAGTAATGAATAATAACATTTTAAACTTTGTTGTGTAATTAGTAATTAATAATTTTTAGAACTAATTAGGTAAAACTCGTTTTTGCGCAATTCGTTTGTGACTATTTGCATAACAAATACACTCGGGTATTATTAGAACATGTAAACTTATGTGTTTGTACAATGACGTTGGTAAATTTATTTATTCACGCTTATTACACTTCATTATAACGAGTTGTTTTTATGATACGACCACAATTCTAAAATCTCTTCGACTAATCACTCGCTAAAGTACTCTATAAAATCGTATTTACGGTTTTTTTTTTGTGTGTTTGGGGAGTCTCTTTTCTCTCGTTCTGCGTAAAAAAAAGCAGAAAGAGCGATAAATCATGCCCGAACAACTGGAAACAATAAATCAGGAAATCCCCTAAATTCGTTCCGAAGAAAGCGAGCAACAACGCGAAATTTCCGTCCGCGTTTTTCTTTCTCGTTAAATGCTCGAGTCGCTTCGGATTCACATTATTTTTTTATCGATAACTTATTTCGTTATGTTACCTGACAAATCAATTAACTTGGCAACGTCGCTTTCTATAAACCCACTTTATTAGTATTTTATGAGTATTAATTTGTTTTTAAAAATATTTATCAAATAGTAACAATTATTATTTCTTTATAAGTTGAGTATTTAATTACGATTTTGTGTGGAAATTTCCTCGTATTAAATCGAAATTGCGCTTTAATAATTAACTAAATTTCGGCGTAATCTTCCCTACTAAACGGGGGAGCAAAACAGCCGGATAAAAAAAAACTGGTAGGCCATTTCTCACGTTAGAAAAAAATTAATACGAGTCGAAAGGAAATTTGTAAAGAGGATTCGAGGAAGAGGTCATTAATTTTCCGTTTTATTACTGGCCCCCTTTTTTGTTTGTACAGATATTTCGGTTTTTTTTATGCGACGGAAATTCCTCCTCTTTTTTCTCGAATCGATATTAATACGTTGCAGGTTAAAATATTTTAATTACTTTAACCAATTGATTAGATTTTTATCCAGAGTTGGCTAAAGAACTTCGAGTAAGTAGTCAGGTTAAATTAAATTGCGAGTATTGTTCTCGCAACTTTTATTGTTTTCACACAACTTTTGTTAGCATTCCTGCTGAGTTCTCTAATTTTTTATTTTATCTGTTGAAATTCCTGATAGTTTTATTAAATTTCTTAGTTTTCCCAATCGATATTTTCCAACTTTACAACTAATGTAGATTAACAGAAGCCTTCTTAACAAATCGTTGTTATCAAACTCTGTGATTATCAATATTTCATTCTAATTTTATACTTTTTCATTCCAGTGTGATAGCGAGGGTGAAGATGATAAGGTAAGTAACATTATTTGTAGACGAATTCGTAATTGTATTTTACGCGTTAATTCCTTTTTGTGTTTAAACAAAACGAATCGAATTTTGCACGATTTTTGGAGGAAAATCGAAAAAAAAAAACAAGCCTATAGCCAGGTAATCAAATCTTTTTTTCCCACTGCACTTATCGGATTACCGATTCGTTCGGGAGCTGCATCATCCGATAAATTCGTATAGCGTGTACGCGACCGGCGATGAGGAAAAACCGGGCCGTAGAGAGAGGGAAATATAATTATTAATGAAAAGTTGGCTAACGAAATTAAACCGAACGGAAAACTGAAAATTGCATTTTCGGTTCGAAAAAGCGACGTCCCGCCGTTCGTTTATTGCCATGGAAATTTTCCACTCGGTAATGTAAACTTTCCCGCTTACGGCGCTCCCGCGTAATTTCATTAAATTCATTCATTTATTTTGTATCGCCGGGATTTTATTAATTAACTCGGGCTATGTTAATTTATAAACGAGTATTTAAAAGTACGCGAAAGCTCCAATCGAGAAGCTTTCGATGTTTGTAATGAGTGTTGCATAATCTCCTACTTTCTAATTTTCCGTTCCTAAATAGGAATCGACTTTTTTTGCATTCCCTTGCGAAAATCCTCGAACGAGGAGAAAACCAGTTTGCGCCGGAGTGTCGGGGGAAGAGAAAAGAAAATGCGCGTTAAAAAAAAATAAAGGGGGGAAACGTTTCGACCAAGTCGATAGCCACGTAATTCCGATAAATTTTATTGGTAGGAAAACGTGCCTAGGAAATTTACTTTTACGACGCGACATGGATACAAAACGATCGGAAAAGTCGATCGGAAAAACACCCGTTTTCCTAAGTCCCTGATGAGATTCGCAATAGTTTTCAACCATTTCTCTTAGCGATATATCCCAAATTCCTCCTGTTCAGGATACTCTCTTTTACTGACAGTAAATCAGTCAGTCAGTCAATCGCAGCTACAAGTTTATACAAACAATACAAAATCCACCGAAATATCCATACGTTTTCCCCTCCGAAACAGTCTTTCTTTATCCCTCGTTAAGTTATAAAACCCCGGGAGTAAATATCGTAAAATACTTGTATACGACGGAGTAAAACAACGCGAAAGAATCGCGAATAGAATTACAAAAAAACATATCAAACGGAAGAAAGATAGATCGCTGTGAGTCGCGGAATGCGAGGAGCTTTTTACTACATTTTATATGTGTACGTTTATGCAGTGCAGCGCTCGCGGCGCTGTACATGATTCAATTCGATGTATTTTCCACCTCGGGAAAAAATGGAATAAAACGTGGAAACGCGTCGTCTTTCGTTTTGGAAAGTCGGGAGAGACGTCGAACGGATTCCGGGGTGTAGAGGGCGCCGCGACGGAACTCTTCGATTGCATAACACAGGGGCGGACTCGATAAGATTTACTAGGAAAATCGTGGAATTGAATGATAAAAGTGGAACGTGGCAACGTCGCAATTATTTATGCAAATCGAGCAGTATAGTAATTTATAATTTCATGAAAACGCGATTGCAACAATTTTGACAAGTATACCTATCCATTTTTGAACTTTCTTTTATTTAATGTAATATCTACTACAAAAATGGGAGTGTAATATAAACTTTGGGGGACATTTAAATACTCTTTAAGTAGATAATTATGGGTTAATGCTCTCCAAAACGGTCATAAAATGACCTAGTGTATAATTAAATAATAACAAGTAGGTATGTGTTAAATGCTAACAATTTGATATATTTACCAAATAGATTGAAATCAATAATTGAATAATTAAACATTCGTTTCGCATAATTGATGAGTAAATTCGAAACGCTAATTCATCATAATCTATACCTTAATTTACACTTTTTAATGCTGTTAAATGTATTTAGTATGATATAGTTAATTTAAAATATTTCTAATGGATTTATAAACAATTCTAATTAATAAAATTTGACTAAAAAAAATAAGTTAATGTATGTATTAGCTGTTATGCTACATTTTAGAATAAGTTCGAAATTTAAAACCCTATTTATAGGGGTACATTTACGACTTTCTTAGGGGTAAATATCTCTCCAAGAAGTAGCCGTAAAACCTTAATAAACTCGACGGTCTTTTTACAGCTTAGATTCCCTTCTAGTACGTATAGTTTAAGCTGAAAAGTATGTAAATGTCTCGATTTTATTCGTTTAAAAATGGTTTTCTTTTTAAAACGGTAATGGAGATGTCCTCTACGCAGACGAACCTAATGTAATGAAATATTAACAAACACTTTTTTGAGTCGCCTAAGCTGCTGAATTTTATATAAATTGCGCAACAAAGAAACTGCCTTGTAATGGCGAATTGTGTAAATTTACTTCGGCATTTAATCGATCAAAATCCCCCGGCCGGGGCCGAATCAAAATGGCATCTTAATCGCGAAATCAGACCACGTTCGGCAATAAAAACGCGCCATTACGAAAACGGGGCTCGTTGCGGCGCTGTTATATGGCTCGTTCCTAGAAAAACCGCCTTTCGAAGGAACTTAACAAAAATTCAATTATATATCCTCACTTCAGGACTCTTCCCACACCGTAATTCTGACACTTTTGCGAAGCAGAACCGAATTTTATATTTCGGAAACTTTATTTATACATTATCGCGATTTTGCGCAACTTATCGTTATGCATACGAGGGGATGCCCAATAGTATAGTATGAAGTATTTTCTTTTGGTCTGTTCCTACGTAAGTCGCAAAGCCAGCCAATAAATTAACGCTGTGTTATTTGGACTTTGATGTTGCGTTATAGAGGGATTCTTTTGTGAGCTATCCAGATTATTCGAAGACATCTCTCCTCGACACGCCGACTTACACTCCGAGTAGGTGGTTCGATTTGACCGGATTTCAGTCGAGAACGGAAGGGATTACGGAAGTCGACGAGTTTTCGGTTTGTGGAAGTTACAAATCTCGCGTCATACGAAGGATTTCCAGAAGCATTCGAACGTTCTAGTTTACTCGTACAGGTGTAGCGAAATTAATTACGATTCTAAAATAAACGTTCCATCGACCTTAAGGCTACCAGACATTTTGTACTTATCGTTCGCATACATCTTAATAATGTCGGGATATCTTGTAAGCGATATACTCGGACCTCCGAACAATGGAACGCCATTATGTAAAATTATTTACATTTTACATTAACAAGAAAACGAACGTTACCAGATGGTGTGTGTGTGTGTGGTGTGCCTTTTAGACGTGGGCACGAAAATAAATCGCGTTACACAATTTGTATGTAAGGCCGACGTTCATTTCCATACAATGAGCTTTCTACTTCTCCTTTTTTTTTTATCGTACCGAAACGGCCAACACGAGTAGCTGAAGTACTTTTTTTTTCTCTCTCCACGTGGAAACGCAGCTCGAAACATATCGATCATACTCGGTTCGATTCCAATTTAACGCGCGGTAAAATTCATCCTGCGAAAGCTTTATCAAGCTCAATTTTTTTAGGTAGGAAAAGGGGCATGCAATATTGGGTTTGTTTTCGAATATTTGCATTAAAATATACTCAAAGATTCGTGATTAACTCGCGTAACTCGAGATGAATTTTTTTTTGCATTATTCCACCTTAATCCAATAATAAATCGAGGCCGTTCGGAATGGCATATATAGCGCAACGAGTCTCGCGTTTCGTTTCATAAAGTAATTCGAAATTAATGCGGCAAATTGCTGGAAATGACTTTGTTTATCCGGCGACGATCTCGAGAATGAGATTATTTTCATTTTTAACTAGTTTCTTGTCGACGGCGATTATAAAATAAAAAAAACTAGACCCGCGTACGGAGGCAGAGCAGGCGATGCTTGGACGAGATAACGGCGGGAATTTCAATTAATATCTTGTGTCCATATACGTTGTCGAACGAGATAATGGCGAATTTTAAGGGTTAATTGAAGTATGTGTACGTGGAATGAATAAAATTCGATACATAATACTGTATTTATTAACCATTATCATGATTTGATTTACACAATTCAATGTAACAGACGAAACTATTTTGATCATATAAATACTAAACAATTCATTATATGAAATTTTAATCAACTGCGAAATCCAACATTTCATATATGGCACGCCGTCGGCTTATAAACGACAACAATGGCATAAACCAAACAATTGTTAAATTATTCAAAATTGTATGAAGCTATCGTTTTACGGAAATTGTTCTTGTTCAAAGCCTGTAATGAATGTGCATTCGAATGGATTGTAATTAAATGTCTGGCTTATGCGCGTTGTACGCTATATACCTAACGTTTCGACGAATAATATAACATGCAAACGAACATATTAATTTCGGTTGATTCGCTAAATGCCCCTTTTACTTTGTAATAGGTAAATATTACAAATTTTTTACGACAAAAGTTTAACGTTAATAACGGCGAGAATTTTCACTTTTAAATTCATTCCCGTGCCAGGTCGTTAGTCTCGCCACCATCGACATCAATATGCAAATGCATCCCGGCCGATCTGCATTAATATCACGGCCGTTTCGCGACGACGTTATTATTCATAAAACGTCGAGTTATCAGCACTTAGGCGAAAACAGAAAATCATCGAAAGGCTTCTCGGCCGTGCGAATTGATGCGAAATGTGTTTTTCGTTGACCGGCAAACCGATAAACAGATTAGAAGAGAAGAGTGTCGAGTTTAATGCGCCCCCCCTTTCTGATGTCTATACAGACAATAAGATGTTTTCCAGACAATTAGCGATACGTCACCATAAAGTATACAGTCGATTTGACATCTGAATGGACGGGGGAAAAAATAACGAAACGATGCGATAAAGTATCGAAAGTATCGTTTCTTCGATGCCTCCGACCGGTGTATCAATAAAGAATTGTTAAACGATCAGATCGGATTGTAAATTCCCCGATCGCCGACCGAATGCCATTAACCGATTGATATACGTCATTGAATCGAGCCGTATTAACATCACGTAAAAGTCGTAGAGTTGTAGAG